AATATTACTTAGGAATTGAAAGACCACATAAAGAACAGATTTGAATTCTGAATTTAACTGGTGTGTGAGCTAGAAGAACTGTGAAAAGAGATGTTGTTAGGGAAGAATGCAGAAAGACAATTTTCATAGCTAAATAAATACAAGGAAAAGACAAGACAAGAAAAAGAAAAGAAGCCTAGATGGTTGATAGAGGAAACACAATTATGAAAGACAGGTGAGAAGCAAAAGAAAAAGGTGACATAAATAGGATTAGAATCCTGAATATACCCTTTCAGCAACTATCACATAGAGACAAAAAGAACTATTACAGTGGCCAGTGCAAAGAAACAGAAGAGAACAAAAAAAAAAAAAAGAAAAAGAAAAGAAAAGACTTCTTCCAGAAGATCCAAGAAATTCATGGGAAATTCAAAAGTAGATTAGGAATGCTGAAAGACAACAGCTGAAAGACTAGGATAAAATAAAGCTGCAAAATAGGATAAAAGATGACAGCGTCTTTGTGGAGGAATCTTATGAGGAAGAGCCTGCAGTATTAGAAAGCAAAGTGAAAGCTGCTCTGAAAGCACTTGGAAGGAACAAAGCACTTGGAGTAGATAGGATGCCAATAGAATGAGTCCAAGCTGCAGAACCTAAATCAGTACAAATCTTAATAATGCCAACACACATGGAAAACAAAACAATGGACCACAGACTGGACATGTTCACTATACATTCCAGTCCCCAAGAAAGAAGATGCAAGACCATTGCATTGATTTCCCATACAAGCAAAGTGATGCTCAAGGTGTTGCAACAAAAAATATGACTCTATATGGAATGAAAAAAGCCTAACATTCAAGCTGAATTCCAAAAAGAAAGAAGGACTTGAGATCACATCACAAATATACATTGGCTACTGGAGCACACTGAAAAATTTCAGACTACAGAAAGCCTTTGACTGTGCAGATCATGAGAAGTTATGGATGGTCGAGAGAGAAATGGACGTGCCTCAATGCTTGACTGTCCTGATGCACAGCCTGCATTGTGATCAAGCGCCTACTCTTAGAATATGGAGAAATAGAATGGCTTACTATAGGCAAAGGAACTAGAAAAGAGTGTATTTTATCACGCTATCTATTATCTATTTATCTGGTTAAAAAAATATTTCAACCAAAACAAAATTAACTACTCCGACTACTAGCCAGAGGTTAAGAAATGCACTCTGAGAAAGCCTCATCCCCTTCAATTGAAGCCTTTCATCTTTGTTTAATCATTTATCTCTATAAAAGAGAAGGAATAACAACTGAGGACCAGAAGAAGCCTTGAAACCATCCGTGCACTTTACACACTTGATAAGAAGTGGTGTGTAAAATGTTGAAACAAAAGCTCCTACGTGAGCTCTATGAAGCTGTTGCAGTGAGTAAATATAAAAGGTAAACCAAAGGCAGGAAACTGCCATTTCGCATGTAAATATAATTTTAAATAACCCACACAAAGTTGCCTGCATGAGCAGGTCAGGAAGGAAATTTCCGTATCTCAGAAGAGGGCGCCCCCTTGTGTTATATAATCCATTTTGCAATACACAGAAGTAAGAATAGTATAGAACAGCAGGCTCGACTGGCAACATAGGAAGGAATTGCTGGATCGTTTGCTCTAACTTCTTTAAAATTACTAAGGGAACTCTGGAAACAGTTTTGGTGTTTTTTTGCATTTCACTGCATAAAGGCGTTGTGCATAACGGCCTATAGCCAGTTACACCACCATGATCCCCATTAAACTACAGTTCTCTGCATGTTTCCTCTTTCCCACTGTGTTCAATAAGATTCCTTCCAAGTATCTGTTTTGGATTGCTGCCTTAAATTAAAACAGCGTGGTTTTCCTTCTGCTTATTATGTTAACACGTGCACATACACAAATACAGTTTTGCTTTGGTCCTAACATAAGAGGCTGTGTGTATGGAGACACATACAAAACCACTTTTGTGGTGGTTCTAGACTATTTCCTTAAGGACAAGTGGAAGAACTTTCAGACAAGACCTTTATTGCGCTGTTGCCTAGCCTGATTCCTCGAATTTTATTAGGGTCTTAGGGGTTCAAATCTTTCTAGTGCTGTCTAGTAAGTCCCTAGTGACTATAGGTTTGCATTTATAGTTTGCTATAACAAGCAGCACACAAGTATTATAAACAAAGAAATGTTATCCCATATGATTTTTTCCAAAGAGAGGGTTTTTAGTGCACTCTGCAGCTATTTTGCTTTTTGTTTGAATCAGATTTTCTGCAGTTACAATAAACATAAAAAATGAACAGGGTTGTGGGAAAACACAGGGGATTATGGGTGGAAGATGACGACGGACACCCTTCAAATTCTACTAATGAAGCAGGGCATGGGTTGATTAAAGCCGCAGCTGGAAGCCCCGGCAACTAAGTTAAGTCAGTCAGACTTTCTGCTCCATGTCACACATTGTATAATTATGAAATTCCAATTATGAAACATTGGAATAATACAAGCCCCCAACTTGCCCATTTTAGTTGCTATTTCTTAATTCTACAGGGGTAAAAGCTAAGCATTTTTGATTGCAAGTGGATGTGAGTGATCATATTTCCATACAACTGATATTACAATTTAACTATTTTTATCTATGTTGCAAGCTGATCTGTCTTTTTGTATGGTGGGGTGGGGTTCACAGTTGCATCATTGGTTTTCAATACTATATGCTGATTTCAGATAATTTAGTCTGCAATTCTATTCACACTAATCTGACCTAATCTGATGACCTATAAAGCCCTAAAAGGCTTGGGTCCTGGTTACCTGAAGGAGTGCTTACTTCCATATATGCCCGCCCGCCCCTTGAGATCCGCGGGAGAGGCCCTTCTCCGGGGAACGCTCCGTGAAAGAAATCAGGAGGGTGGGTACTCAGAGGAGGGCTTTCTCTGCGGTGGCGCCTAATCTATGGAATGCGCTCCCCAGAGAGGTCCGCCTGGCGCCATCGTTATTTGTTTTTCGGAGCCAGGTGAAGACCTTTTTATTTAAGCGTCATTTTAATTGTTAATATTATTTGATTTTATCTGGCCAGGATGACTTATTTTATATTGTTATTTTTTGTATTTTAACTTAATGTTTGTATTTTACAAACATTTTAACTTAATGTTATGTTAATGTTTTAACTTAATGTTTGCATTTTAACTTAATGTTGTGAGCCGCCCCGAGGCTTCAGTGAATGGGGCGGCATAGAAATGTTTTAATAAATAAATAAATAAATAAATTTGGAAAACTCAATAGTGGCCACAGGATTGGAAAAGGTCGTTTACATTCCCATCCTAAAGAAGGGCAATGCCAAAGAATGTTCAAACTACCGCACCATTGCACTCATTTCACACGCTAGCAAAGTTAGGCTCAAAATCCTACAAGCTAGGCTCCAGCAGTATGTGGACCGAGAACTATCAGAAGTGCAGGCAGGATTTCGAAGAGGCAGAGGAACTAGAGATCAAATTGCCAACATACACTGGATCATAGAGAAAGCTAGGGAGTTCCAGAAAAACATCTATTTCTGCTTCATTGACTATGCTAAAGACTTTGATTGTGTGGATCACAACAAATTGTGGCTAGTTCTTAAAGAGATGGGAATATCAGACCATCTAATTTGTCTTGAGAAACCTACATGCGGGTCAGTAAGCAACAGTGAGAACTGGACATGGAACTACTGATTGGTTCAAAATTGGGAAAGGAGCTCGGCAAGGCTGTATATTGTCCCCCTGCCTATTGTCCCCCTGCAGAGCACATCATGAGAAAGGCCAGGCTAGATGAATCACAAATTGGAATTCAGATTGCCGGGAGAAGTATCAAAAACCTCAGATATGCACTCTAATGGCAGAAAGTGAAGAGGAACTAAAGAGACTCTTGATGAAGTGAAAGAAAAGAGTGCAAAAGTTGGCTTGAAGCTCAACATGAAGAAAGCTAAGATCATGGCATCCAGTCCTATCACTTCCTATTACTTCCTGGTAAATAGATGGGGAAGAATTGTAAGTAGTGAGATTTTATTTTCTTGGGTCCCAAGTTCACTGCAGATGGTGACTGCAGCCAAGGAATTAAAAGATACTTGCATCTTGGGAGGAAAGCTATGGCAAACCTAGACAGCATACTAAAGAGCAGAGACATCACTCTGCCGCCAAAAGTTCATATAGTCAAAGCTATGGTTTTCCCAGTTGTAATATATGGTTGTGAGATTTGGTCCACAAGGAAGGCTGACCACCAAGAATTGATGCTTTTGAATTGTGGTGTTGGAGAAGACTTCCAAGAGTCCCTTGGACTGCAAAGAGATCAAATCAGTCAATCCTAAAAGCAATCAACCCTGATTGCTCTTTAGAAGGACAGATACTGAAGTATTTGAAGCTGAAGCTCTAATACTTTGGCCACCTAATTAGAAGGAAGGACTCTTTGGAGAAGACCTTGATATTGGAAACGATTGACAGCAAAAGGGGAAGGAGACAGCAGAGGTTGAGATGGCTGGATGGGGTCACTGGAGCAGTAGGTGTGTGCTTGGGTGGACTCCGGGAGATGGTGGAGGACAGGAGCCTGGGGAAATGTTGTCCATGGGGTAGATGGATCTGACACGACTTTGCAACTAAACAAAAAAAGCAAAAACCAAAGGATGATCCATCTAACCTTTACTGTATCTATGTTTTGTTCTGTGTTTTCTTAGGTGCGAACGCTCTTTAGGTGATTACATCAATCGCCTGATCCGATTAAAACCAATCCTTTATGCTCCACTTTACAAAGAGAAGCCGACTGTGACGCCACTTTCTCCGTTTTTAGCCAATGCCAATTATATTTCAGGCGTTCCCGAGGGCACGTCTGCACGTCAGCCGTTGGTAGGCGTAAGGGGTCCTGAGATTTCGAACGGGGAAATGAGCCAATCAGAGAGGAGGAAAGGGGAGGCGCTCAGTTTGAGTTGATGTGAGGCGGCGGCTGGCGGAGATCAAGTGATCCCTGAAGATGGTGGCCGAGCAGTGAAAGGGGCAGCGGCTGCGATGGAAGCGGTGGAGAGCCGTGCAAGGAAGCTGGAGCAGCTGGCGGTACAGCAGCAGCTCCGAGCCGCCTACGGGATCAAAATAAAGAACCGGCCGGTGAAAGGGAAGCCGTCGCGATCGGCACCGGCTGGGAACAGAGGGGTGAGTCGGGAGCAGAAAGCGCGCCGCGGCGCTGCTGGGAAAGCACGGGCAGGCAGGCCGTGCGTGAAGAGCCCCACGATCGGTTAATCTGGTAACGCTTGAGTGCACAGGCAAGTAGGTCAGGGGCAATTCGGCCTCCGAACTGGCTCAGCTAAATTCGGGGCTTTTCGAAGTGCTGTAGCTTCGCCTTCAACCAGTATCCTTCGCAGGTGTTCTGTTCGCGAAGAGGCTACCTGGAAATTCAGCGGGATCCCTATGGGTGTTCCCTCCCCGCTTTTGCGAGGAGACTGAAAACAAAAGCCAAGTTCTGGTCTGAGAAAGCGTTCCTCCTACAACTCCCAACGTGACCCAGCCATACGGATTGCAGCATGCTGGAAGTTGTAGGCATTATCTTAGGCAAACAAGCACTAGGCAGCAAAAGTTCTGCCCCATTCCTATACATTCTGTGCACAGCGAATGGAACAGTAGAGGTAATCTTTGGCTCGCCCTCCTCCACATTTTTTGTCCACCTACTTGGGGTGTTTCAGAGCAGGAAGGGAAAAGACTAGAGAGCCTCCAGAATAGCACCTATCCTGGTCTTTCTCATCTCTTTCCCTGCCTCGAAGAACCTGCCCTCAGATCAGTTGGCACTGTGAGGTAGGTGGCAGCAGGTTGGACATTTCCAACCTTGAAGTGGCTATTTCCAAGTTTTGCATAAGAGAATCCAAAATACCTACAGGCCCCTACTTGGGCTTCCACAAGAGGTGGTTGAGGCCCCATGGGTGAGGGTGTTCAAAGATAGGCTGGACATGCACATGGTTGGCATGTCATGAGCGGAGCTGGTGGAGTCAGGGGTCAGACTAGATGACCCGGAAGACCCCTTCTGACTCGCTCTGTTTCTATGTTTCTACTGTCTAGGGGCCATAGCTTGTCTCTCTATAACAGTACGGATTCAGGCAGCTACTACTATAACATGTAGCCTATTTAGCAGGCTTATACTGAAGGTCTTGAAGTTGTGGTGGACAGCTGAATGAAAATGTCCATCTAGCATATGGCTGATGTGAAAAAAGCAAACTGTGTTATGAATTATTGGGGAATTGAAAATAAAACTGCCAATATCATACTACCTATACAAATCTACAAAGTTATTGCTTGTAGTTTTAGTACTGTAATGCTGGGTCAGAGCAGTGGTCCATCTAGTTCTGCACTCTATTTACATGATGACAAATCAAGTACAATAGTGTATGCAGGCATACTGCCTCTCATTACTAACATAGCAAAGAGACTGATCTTAGGGATAGCAGGTGCTAGAGCATAATAAACCAGATGCATCCCTGATCAGCAAGATAACAAAACTGAGACTCATTTATTTTGGCCACATCATGAGATCAAGCTTATTGGAAAAAGGATATAATGCTTGGAATGCTCAGCAGCAAGAGAAAACCAGGTCACCACAGAGTGAGGTAGTTAGACTCCATCAAAGAAGATGCAGGCCAGAGCATAGCTCAGCTGAAAGAGGTATTGAGAAGTGTTGTGATATTTGGCCCATAGGATGACTTATAGTCGGACACAGCTGAACAGAATAATGTATTTTTGTATGAAGATCAGCATATTTATATTTGAGCTGTTTAACAACTCTAGAATGAATACCATCTGGGCTGGTGGTTTATTAATGTTCAGTTTGTCAGTAAAGTTGAGAATTTAATCTTTGTCACTATCTGCCTTAATTCCTCAGACTCCCTTCTTGATTACATCAGTTCAGGAGCAGATATCTGTATCTTCAGCTGTGAATTCTTTCCATTTCCCTACATTTCTGTAACCTCCTTTAGTGCTCCCTTAATTCCATCATCATCCAGTAATCCAACTGCCTCTCTTAATGATTTTTTTCTCAAGAATTCTTTATTGTTGCTCTTGATGTTGTTAGCAATATGCTCCTCAAAGTTTTTTTTTTTTTTTAACTTGTTGTCTGCTTGTATCCCCCTTATGCAAGTTTTTGTGTTTTCCTGATTTGGGCAAGATTTCCATTTCTTGAAGGAAATCATCTCCTAAGCTTTCTTTACTCTCTTCCTTAACCATACTGGTTGACTTCCTGCTACTTTTCCAACCATGTAGTACACAGCTGTGTCTCTGTTGTGACTCTGAATAACCTCCAAGTAATTTGAAGGGATACAATCCTCTTCACTCTTCAACTTATTTTTAACTAGTTCCTTCATTTTAGAGAAGTTTCCTCTTTTGAAGTCAAATACAACTTCTTTGGATCTCTTTAGCAATAATCCACCTAATTGTATATTAAATCTGATAGTTTGGTCCCACTTTCCAATTTGTTCAACAACACTTACATCTTATACTGTGTCCTAGGCAATTCCACCTAGGATTAAATCCAGGATTACATCCCCTCTGGACAATTCCATGACCAACTGTTCCAGAGCACAGTCATTTAGGACAAGAAATTTCACCTCTGCCTGAGCAAGGCTGCTGGAGTTGTACTGTCCTGCTAGGCTTCTCTGGAATTCCACTCCCACCTATAGGTTTGCAAGGGGTTATCCTTCCAGGGTTTTTCCCTTTTGCTGCACCCTTGTCCTGGCTTAATCAAATAATGAGCTTGTTTACCTTGGTAATTAATGTAGATCTAGCCATAAAAAAACATAGGAGTTACCTTCTCCTCACCTAGTTCCTTAACTCACTTGTGGGCTGATGTTTTGTCAGTGGAGTGCCTTGCAGTTGGATAGGACCTAAAAAGAATATTATAGATTGGGGAAGATGCAGAACAGGGCAGTTAAAATGATCAAGCATCTGAAGGAATTCCCATATGAGAAAAAGTTACAACATCTGAAATGGGTTGGTTTATTAACATGGTGAGTAAGGTGAAGCATAGAGATGTACAGAAATATGTCTGGCATGGAGGAAATGGAAAAGGAGACATTCTAGAACGTACGGTCATTCCATGAGTTTGCATAGTTAAATGAAGAGATTCATTGCAATACAGTGTAGTGATATGTACCAGTCTGGATGGCTTTAAAAGGGAACCAGGCAAAGTCATGGAGGATGAGGCCATTAAAGACTAGTAGTACCAATATCTGTTTGCATCCTCTAGTATCAAAAGCAGTGTGCCTGTGTAATTACACTAGTTGCTGAAGAATGCAGATGTGGCTGTGCTGTTGGTCTCATGCCCCCGCTTGTGTGTTTCTTGTGGGCAGCTGATGTATGAGTAGAATGCTGGACTTGAATGTTTATGTAAAACTCATTTTTCTCTTTTTAATACATATGATTTAGCATTTTTCTGTATCTATAATATGCCATCTTAGCTTAAGATAGGCACTCTTAGGTATAGGGCAAAACAGTAAACTAATAAGCATTTTTTTAGATTTATATTCCACCTTTTTCTTTTTTAAATAATTCAAAGTGGCTTAGTCATTCTCTTCCTCCTGCTCCCAGTCTTGTCCCCACAACAACAACCCTGTGAGGTAGGTTGGTCTGAGTCTGACTGGCCTAAAGTCACCCAGTTGGGTCTGTGGCTGAGTGAGAACTAGAACCCAGATCGCCTAAGTCCCAGACCCATGTTCTTAATCACTACACCATACTGGTTCTCTCTCTAGGAATCTATATTTGACATGAATGAATGTACTTAATATAGTAGATTAAGATGTTTGATTACACTCTAAACTCTTTGTAAAATTGTCATTTGATTACCCCCCACAAACTGCTAGCTTTGGCTCATACTGGGGGCCTTCACCAGATTTGTGTCCAGACCAGAGTACATTACTTGCATACTGCAATTTAATTTGCTAATGATTAATAGTGGTGCATAGTGGAGTTAAAAATGATAGTGTGGTTAAAATGGATAAATTCATAAGTATTAGGAGACTGTTTCTTTTTATACTACTTATTAAAATATATTTTTTCTAAACAGTCATATTTAAATGTTGTTATTTTCCTTAGGGCAGAGTCTTTGGAATACCTCTTCATGAATTACCTCATCAGGTTGTGCCTGAATATGGCAGTATACCTTGGTAGGTAAAGTATGTAATATAATGAATATTTGACATAATTAGGATCTTCTGTTCACAAATATGTCAACTTCAATTTTGAATCATATGTTTTATTTTGATAGGATGTGCAGTAAAGGTAATCTCATCAGTCATATCCTGAACTGCTTCTCAAACAAACATACTCCAAGGTTAGAGTGAGGGAAGGGTAATTCTCATGTATCTTGACTAGAGAGGAAGAAATTGTAACACTGTATACTGGTTCAAGCACTGGGATACGATGACATCTCACAACAGGAGAGATCTTTTGTCTGTCTCATAGTTGTGTTGAGGTTACTTAATGGAGATGATGAAGACAAAAGATTAGCATCTTGTTTTTTTCAAGCTATGAGTGAGAAGTGGGGAAGCTGTAGAATGGGCCCTTCTTGCTGATCAAAACCCACTTTGTTGACCAGAATTTCAGGTTGTATTTTGTATTTTAATATGCTTAACATTTACAATATGAAAAACATGATGGTTTATTAAATATGTCACCTTGTCATATTTGGTCTGTACTCACACAGAGAGAGAGAGAGACAGACAGACAGACAGACAGAGACATACTGAATTCTTAATGTCAGGCTGATTCTTTTTCTATTTGAATTCAGTTTTTTAGTTGATGCTTGTAAATACTTGGAAGAACACATTCATACTGAAGGGCTCTTCAGAAAATCTGGATCATTTGTTCGCTTAAGAACATTAAAGGTATATACTACTATTTCTTGTGTCTTGTTGCGATGCTAACAACATATCATTATAAATACAATGCCTGATATTGCTAGGCAGAATGTTCAAAAAGTAAAAATAAAAAACCTCCGCCCATAAATCTATGACAGAGCAAATTAAATTGTCAAAATGGTTCATGCAAATATGCCTTTAAATAACACAGCAGATTTGATTCTGCATGCTTTTCCCTTAAAGTTCTTTTCTTCAGAAGTTTCTTTCAGTGTGGCTTCAACCTATAGGAACAATGTCTATGTTTTCTTCCCTGCTAGAGTAAATTGGACCAAGGTGAAGACTGCCTGTCTACTGCTCAGCCATGTGATGTTGCAGGACTTCTGAAGCAGTTCTTTAGAGAATTGCCAGAGCCCATTCTCCCAAGTGACCTGCAAGAAGCTCTAATCAAGGCTCAACAGCTAGATAGTGAGAAGAAGAAGTCTGCCACGCTGCTGCTCTCATGTCTTGTAAATGACAAGACAACTGATGCGCTCAGATATTTTTTCAAGTTTCTCAAGAAGGTGTCTCTAAGGTAAACTGAGGATGTCATGAGTCTTGCGCTTCTGATCAACTCTCTGCAATATTCCTGAAAGAGAACTACCATGGTTGCGAGACTCCTGGCTGGAAGTGGGTATTATGGGGAAAGAAAGGAATTACAAATATTTCCAATGCCTTGAATCAATTAGGGTCTGATATAGCTTCCTTTTACTTATAGAATTAACATGATATAAAGCACACATTGTAAAATCTTTTTTTCAATAGCTTCAAAATAGTTGAACTGTAATATTTGATGAGGGGGGACAACCGAATGAGACCCATTTAATATGGTTTCTATTAGGTTCATGCCTTTATCTGGAAATGTATTTTAATTTATTTGTCATGTACTTTATGTATTTGCAAGTTGATAGTAGACAGTTCCTTACATCCTTTAAACATAAAGAAAAAAAACAGTCACAGAAAAATGCTGACATAATAATGTTACCACACTCAAAGATCTGTGGATTGTATGCAATGCTTCCTATGGACAGACAGCTGTATAATGTTAATTACAATAATAAAGATTGTACTGTCCAAATTTCACAGTGGATTAATATCTGAGGATTTTATTAATAAACATATGACAATGTGTTTTTAGCAGTGGAAATGCTTCATTGAAAATTTAGTAACCAAAATGTTCCATTTCTCTTCATTGACACTGAGCTATAAATGTAAAACTTTTCTCCTACAACAAATTATGTTGCTTGGTTTCTTGCCTATACTTTTATTTAACTGTAGGTGACATCCTCAGGTTACCATGTAAGTTTAAATGCAACAATTAAAAATACTTAGTCTACACCCCACCTTCCCTTCTATCTGTTCCTACACCAATGTGTTTCATGAAGGGGAGTCCCTCTGTAACCGGAACCCCGGCCGCCTCTGAGGTTCTTGTGTCTAACTGCTCATAGGTTACATTGTACTTCAAACCACAGGACTGAGGCAAGTCTCCTGGTGCTTTGAAAAACCCTGTTTGTTGAAGCACTCCAGAAAGTTCATATAGCATGAAATGCTTTAAAGAAAATGAATAATGTGTTTAAAGATTCTAAACTTTATAGTGCATACCTGTATTTAAAAATCATAAAAATATATGCATATAACTTATATAAGCCTTAAATATGGAAGACATACAGTTGAAAATTACTATTAAACAATCCCACTGGTTTAAAAAGTTCAAGTATTCATTAATCCAAAATCTTTCACTTTAAGTCATAACCTTTAGTCAAAAGAAAAGCAAATAATAGCTGTACTAATTTAAACCCTTTCACCTCACACAACAGCTGGAGTATCACATGTATAGTAGCTAGCCTGTGAATAAGAGTTTGCCAAGTGCAATATTGATTAGGAGTTTGGCCAATAGATTTAACAGTTAGTTTTAGATGAATGCAGTTAAGATTTCAGAGTAAGTTTGAAACTTCTGACACTATTCGGTTTTTGGATTCCCTTCCCACCCACTCCCCAGATCTGTTGAGAACAAAATGGACAGTAGCAACCTGGCAGTAATTTTTGCTCCAAATCTCTTGCAATCAAGTGAAACCGACAAAATGTCAGCTCATACAGAGAGGAAACTTCGTTTGCAGGCTGCAGTTCTCCAGACACTGATTGATCATGCAGAAGATATAGGTAAGGTGATGCTGAGGGAATGAATGCATGCATTTTTAAATAAATTGTATAAGTATTCATAAATAAATATTGATATACTGTTTGACTGTTTTTTATTTCAGGGCATATACCAAAGTTTATCCTGGAAAAGTTACCTGCTATGCTTGGTATTGATGATCCTGTTGCTTTTCCTTTGCTGCAAGAATATGAAGAAAATGAAGTTGTAACTCCTGGTGAACACACAAGAAACAGAAGACGGAGCATAGGAGGTGAGTACAATTCCTTTGGAAATGCTGGTGGCTTTTTAAAACTTGGTTCATATTTATATAAAACTTTAACTTTTCAAATTACTAAACTAAATTAAGTGTGTTTATGTTAATAAGTGTGTGACTTGTATCCTGGGGGCAGGTTACTTAACTCTTGATTATAGATGTATATTTACAATAACAGAATTAAATTCGTTTAACTAAATCAATGTCTTTCTCCTTAAAAGCGTCCCTTGATGTCCTTTAGAACAAAGCTTCCAACCAGTTCTAAACAGTTCTGACTTTTGATTGGTGCATAGTTTCAATCAAATTTGACGAACTAGTCAGTCCTCAGTCTAATTAATGATAGTGGTTGATTTACTCGTGTAAAGATCCCTGGCTCCTCCCTCTGATAATTAATCCAATTGGATTATTTGGCCATAGGTTATAAAGAGAGTTAGTTGCCTTTGAGTCCTAAACTTTATTTTTCTATAACCCTGGAGGCATGTTAAGCTGCAGGTCCAGGACTAGCCCAAAGTCATCCAGTGAGTTACATGACCAGGTGATGACTTGAGTCCAACACGCTGACCACTACAAAGGCACTCATCTCATACCACCTTTACTGACATAACTTTCTAACATAGTTGACATTGCAATGTGCAAATATAAGAGTGATATATTTAATATTTTACTACTGCTGTTAGATAAATAATACACATTTTGTAGTATGCAATTGCAGATTATCAGTAAGAATTTGAAGTGTGTAGGGTTGTTCTTCAGTTGTTGTTGGTTTTTTTTTTTTAGAGTAATGGTCTCAAATTTGCTTTTAAATCTACGGAATAGTGCGACATTGAACCAGAAATGATTCTGTGTTTGTATTTTTATATCTAAGTTGTTTAATGTATGCTGATATGTCAAACTTGCATATTATGCATTTTGTTTTACCCTGAACCTATATTTCTTTCTTCGTTAGTCCAAATGTGTGAAATCTTTGTGCCCACTTCTACTGGGATCTCAACATGTTGTCACATGGAATGCCTTCTCTTCCTTTTTTTTCCTTTGCCTTAATGGATAGAGTGAAGGGGTTAAAGTAGAAGGAAAATATATTGTATCTTCCAGGTAATCTCATAAAAATAAGTAAAAGGGGATGATTGAAGCATGTCAGGATTTGTGCATCACTTGATAAAATATATTTTAGAAACTTAATGAGTATAGGTTTTAGTGAATTATTTCCTTCTGTTGGCATTTTCCAACTCATGGGACTCACATAAATCTGCTAAAGAGGGAGCGAGATCCTTACATAAGTACATCTGTGTTAGTTCAAAAACTTACAGATATCATATGCAGATCACCACATCTCTGTCAGCACAAGTAGAAGTTCATCACATTGAAACTGTAATTTTCCAAGGATCATGTTTCATCACATAAATAACAGCAGTGTTTTGCCAAATTGACTTTTATCTTGGCGATAAAAATAGATGTACTACTAAGAAGCCATCCTTTATCCTTTGTATAATAAAATCAGTTTCCATATTTAGAAATGGAACAACTTAAGATTCCTATTAAGCTTTATTGCTTGGTGTGTCTTCAATTTCAGGTATGGTTAGTGGAGCTCTGAATAAACTTAAATCTAACAGAACACCTTCCATTACACCTCAGAGAGACAGGCATGGTAGGTATAGTGCATTTGCATGAAGCACTTCATACCATGTCCTTAAGACTTGTGCTCCACAACAGGCTAACTTGCAGCATGCAGCAGATATACAAATAAGTCTTCAGTGCTGACTAGCTTGCATTCTTCCTTAGACTTGCTGTTGCATTAAAGGTCTGAGTTACACATTTAGAAACTGGGCTGCTTTTGTTGTTGCATACTAAAGCTTGGGTGCTGTTGGGTTGCATTATTCAGCCATGGTAACTACTAAAGAAGTGCTCTCAGCTTGACTAAATGCTGCTTCAGAAACATTACTCCTCCCCTAAATTTGACAATGAGAAATTTTTCCCTTTAATTGCAAATAATGCATTTTCAGGGAGAGGTTGAAGTTTCTAGAAAATATGGAAATAGTATTTTTTCCCCAATTTTTTCTAATAGATGAGGAAATAGGGAATCAGAAAGATTTTGGTATCTTCTGCTAATGTCTTGGGCCACTTTATGCATTTACTCAGAAGGAACTATGACACATAAGTGCATGTAGGATCACAGCCTAACAGTGCAATCCTACATTTGTTTATACAGAAGTAAGTCACACTGAGTTCAGTGAAACGTACTCCCAAATACATATTATAGACTTCTAGAATTAATTTAGTAGTATCATTTGAAACAAACTTTTTCATGTAGATGCAGAAGAAAAACATGTTTATAGCAAAACATTAGGAAAGTGAGTATATGAAAAAACAAAGTATATGAAAAAGGAGGCAGTATCTGCATTACTTGTACATTCTAACTGTTTCTGGTGTGCTAGCAGGACCCACCACAAGCAGGAACTAGCACTTCCACCAGAAAAACCCCAGTAATTTTGAGAGCAACATAAGTGAGCAGAGTTTCCTTCTGCAAACTCTACTGACCTTCCTCTATTCCAGAAATAAGCACTTCAGCCCATTCCCAACTGCTGCAGGATCCATTAACCTGCAGACTGTGTTCATTCTTGTACAGTGGTTTCACGGCTGCAGCAGTTCAATTCTTGTAAACAGACACTTCGAGTACTTTAAGTCATCTGGAAACCACAATAGTTATTTCAGAAAAAAAGCTTTAAAGCCACCTAACAAGGCATAACTCCAATACTTGACCATTTTGAGTCTTTTCAGAGTTGTGAACAATATGATTTGGATTATAAGGCATCGTCATTCTTATTTTTGCTAGTTCATTTGACAGATGAGTCAGGTCTGCAGCAGGCCTCTCATCTCACAGTAGAGTTTGTGTTGTGCTTTGAGTGGCTTGCTGACCATGAACAAGCTAAGAAAAGAACCCATGAACCACAGTTCATTTGCATGACACTATGGATTATCTTGCATTAATTAACTCACAATTAGTGTGTGCAGCTGCTGTTTTGAATATGCTGTTTGGAATATGAACTTCAATCAGGAGTTCCATTGTGCAGATCTTGCTATCATGAGTTAAACAAAGGGTTAAACAATCTACAGTAAAGCCAACTACAAATTGATGGTTAAAAGTGGGTGGGTTGTTTAATCATTGATTAACCCATGATGGTTGGGTTCATGCGACATATCGAAACTACTGATTTCCCAATCCAAGGTTGCACCTTCAAAATGCCAGCTGCACTTACTCTGGCTAATTGTGGGCTATTTTCCCTACAGTGAGATGACGTCATGAAAACCAGCCCTCTGTTTGTTGTTAGGTTTTGAACTCAGTGTTGTTCATGGTTAACAACTGGTTAACAACTCAGTGTTGTTCATGGTTAACAACTCACAGTTAAGCCACAGTGCAATGCTTGCACAATTAAATGACAAGACATATGAAGCCTGCATTCTAGTTATCATGGTGTACACAACAGGTGAGTGACATTCACCCTATCTAACTGATCTGTCCCTAGTTACCTAATACGGAATAGTTTAATTGTACAGAATTACTGAATCATTTGTTATAGTAAAATGGATTTCATTGAGCATCAAAATTTTCTGAAACGTCCTTTTTGTTTCTAGCCATGGGATGAATTTCCCTCCAGAGATTTCTGGGCCTTTTTTCCTGGATGTTCACATTACTCACTTTAGGAGGAAGTGGGCAGCTACTATATTAAAATGTTTCTACTTATGCTTTCTATTAATCTCTACTGCTGTGATGCTCTCATGCATTAAAATAAATGCTGAACATGATCTAACCGCTACTGAAAATATGAAGCCCTGTGTTTCAACTATGCAACTGCTGTATTTTGTGAGTTTGTTTACCATTTGAAGGCTTTTATTGTAGCTGTCACTTTCTTTACAGTTTTTCCATCAGTGACTCCAGTGATTATTACGCCAAATTTTAAGCGTAAACATCCCACTGATTCCTGTCAAGGCTTCTCTAACAAGAAAAGACGATCTATCAGGCATAATATGGGTCTTGAATTGCTCCCAAGTAGCATTTTTAACATTAACTCAACACCCGGATCAGGTAGAGTAATAATTACTTAATACGTCCAGTTTCAATCAGATTTCTGTTTCTTCACAGTATTTGTAAAGTTACAATTCAGTTACTTTAATGATAGATGATTTTAAACTAAATACCTAATTCTGTAATGCTACATCTTACAGCTCAATCTGAAACGAGTCCTTCTGTGTTGCTTGATGCATCTCAGAGTTCACTGTCTGCCTCTGTCTCTAGCGAAAAACAGCTGCATAATATAGGAAATCGAAGAAGCAAAAGGATTGCTAGCAAAAAAGTACAAAGGTGAGCTGCTTAAACATTGGTACCAGTGTAACCGAAGGGCAAAATGTTGTCTCTCTTTTATGAGATCTAAAAAAATGTATGAATAGATATCTTGAAAAATTCTAGATGAAATAGAAGGGAACACTTTTGCTTCTTGGTTCTTTAGAAGCTAGCATTGTATTTCTTCACTGTTGGTTTATTTTTTATATCATTTAATAGGGTATAACTTCATCCACTTTTCATTTTAAACTCTCACTAATAGAAATGCCCCGTTTGTTTTTAAAGGGTTGAGTTGCTGTATATTAACTAGCTGCATTTTAGGTAAGGGTATCAAAGCTTCAGATGCATGGTTAGTTTATATCTGTTTCTTTTCAAGGGTTGAGTCTGGAAAAATGGGTTGCTTTTCTCCCAAAATTAGCCGGAAAGAAATGGTACGCAGGTCACTGAGATTAAAATTCATTCTGGGAAGGAACAACAAAGAGGTACTGTATATATCTCTTACTTCATAATGGAAACAGTTCTGGAGTTTCCAGTTTGATAATTTAAAAAGTCCATTGCAGCAGTTTTGAAAAATCTTTGCAGAAAATATGTAGAATATGTAGATCAAGGCTGGAAGTAAAGAGCAGACCAACCTGGCTGTCTTGATTTCTAGCAATCTTATTTCATTTTTAATCCCTAGATTGCAAAAGCCTTTTTACAGGCTAGTATTGTGGGTTTGTTACCTTCAACAAAGGGTTAAAAAACCAAAACTGTAGCAGTCTATATATCGGGGGTGGCCAGATTTGCTTAGCAGAAGACCCCATATGGTAAATGTCAGATTCTTGAGAGCCGCAAGCAGGTGCCTACGGGTGGTGACAGCAGGTGGTAAGTGGCAATCAGGTGCCTGCAGGCATCCCAGGTGGCAAGCGGCAAGCTGTAAAATAAACTCAAAGAACCATTTTGAACCTCAGTTTGGCCACCCCACCTACCAGAGGATATGTACCAAACCTTGGCGAAATGGTGCATTATACCCATGAAATCATTTCTAGATTCATTTATCTTTTCCAAGCTCATCTCCTTAAGTCTTATTGCTTCTGAGTTTGCAATAGCTGATCCCTGCCTGCACTGCTCTTTTCTTCCCATATCCCCTTGGCCCCTGTCCCTTGCCACTGGCTTACAGGCTGGACTGCTGCCACTATCACTGTCACTGCCCTGAACTCCCAAGATCTTTCTGTACAATGGGGCAATAGGGAAAAGCAAGCTTTCCTAGCACAAATAGGCCACCTTTAAAATGCAGAAGTATTAAAACATGGGTCAACAAACAATTAACTAAGTTTTTATCGGAAAAGAATACTGCAGTAGAGAATCAAGCTAGCAACAGATCTGAAAACATTGGTCGCCGACTTGCAAGTCAGCAAGACACGGAAAGTGGAGTGGATTCTAGGAGGACAGTTGCTCTATTAAGCCCATGTGTTGGTGAGTTGATAATTAAGGTAAACATGATTTATTGCTGAAAACATCAAAGGTTGTTTTCTGTACCTGGTTCGCAAACTGAAAGGGGCTAGAATCTTTAGGGGAGAGAATATAGGATCCTCATAGTTAAGGTATTCAACCCCTTGAAAAGAGAAATGGTACAAACACTGAGTCAACACTGGTCATCACACCATTCCGAAGGAGGGGTTTTTTGCTAACAAATGGTATAGAAAAGGTTAAATAGAAAATATAAATATGGCTAGTTCTTTTTTCCTGAGATCACAGGATGGGGAAAGCAAGCCCCATGCTTCTGGAGCTTTAAATAGTCTGCAGGTTCTGAGTCGCATGGCACTGCACTTGTGTTGCAGTATGAGTGCCTAGCAATATTTTAAAAGAAATTTTAAAATTTGTTAAATCTTCATTTCAGGCTGTTCTGGACTGTTCTTGTATTTTTTAACCATTTGCACATTTTAATGCTTCAACTGAGTTCTTCATCTGCAACCCATCCTTGGAATATGGATGAAGGATAGGATAAAAATCTCTATAACAAGTAGGAAAAGAATTGTCATGTCATAGTCCTTGGAGGCTAAACACTTTGCCTGCTACATGACAGCTTTGCTAATAATTATTCAGGCAGTGTCTCATGTCTGTTCCACTTGGATAAGTCTCTCCACCCCTTAGTCTCAAGAATTTGTGATGTCTGCAATGTTCGGCTGTTCCTGTGGGACTTTTTGCCTTGTGGTCTAAAAACAGCCAGTCACTATTAGGGATGATACCTTTTGTAGCTGTCTGACCTTACTGTTAAGGTCAGAAAAGGATGAGAGATGGTCTGGGCTGATTTCAGGGTAAATGCATTGTCTGCAAGGAATGAAGAATTCAGTAGCCATAGTTTGCTGACGTGCTTACCTGTGAGCCAACAGTAGCTTATTACTAGGTGTACTTTCTATTTCCAGGTGAAATTGAGTCATTGGTCAGGGTGGTGCAGTATATAAATGCATGCATACATATGTATTTCAAGTGACAAGTAATTTCTTAGAACCCTCTATCTCTTATATTTGTATCAAAAAGTAACTACAACAAATTCTCTTAACAGGATTCTTTTCAGCACTTTAATTTTGAATATATCAAAAAACTTTCCTGTAAAATTTGCTCAATATACAAGCAGTAGGATATATTTGCCCTTCCTGAAATGGGGACAGAACACCAATGGAAGAGCAACTGCAGTCTCTCCATTGTCAGGGAGAATGTTGAGTGGTGTGACTGCTACCACTTTGTTCCCCTGGTTAGTTCTTCTCTTTGTAGGCAACCCGGAATGTGCCTAATTGTAGTGATACTACACAGGAATGTAGTATTAATGTTAACTTAATATGCAACATCATAATGTACAGAGTTTAAAAACAATACTCCTTTTTTAAGGTTCCAAAAATATCAGTAAGTCAGAAGAAAACTTGAAAATTCCAAACCATAATGAAGCAAGCTACCGGATGTCCTGGACAGGCTCCAGTATTACAGAATCTAAGCAAACAAGTAGCATTGGTACAAATTTAATGGCACATCTTGCAGCAGAGGCATCTTCTTCAGAACCTGTTCTTACATTTAGAGAACCACCAATCATTCCTGCTAAGTCTACGCCTGTAGATGGACAGGACGAACAGGTTAATAATAAACTACGAGCCTCTTTTTGTGAGGATCAGAATTACTTGACTGCAGACACTTTACTTAAAATTCAGAAAGCATTTTCTGAATCTGGAAGCAATCTTCAAAATTTATTTGAAACTAAACATTCAAAATCAAATTTAATACAAGGAACAACATCCTTTTTGGAAGTCAATTTGGAGAGAACCAGCTTGAAAAGTCAAAAAGTGACAAATGAAGAGCTGGGGACTCTGTCCAGTACAGATCAAAACAATGCAGTTGATGGATCCTACTTCCAAAATACTGATAATACAACCCATGATTTAAGCAAAAGTGATGGATATATACAAGAGGATCACCTGGCTGCAATGACATCTTCAGGTATCCAGTTAGACAGCACAGATACTCTGCAAGAGGAGGTACTGGAATCAAATGAGCAATTCACAGCAGAAGAAATTACTGAGGAAAAAAATGGTAATGCAAAGAGAGAGATTAAAGAATGTCTTAAAAAAAGAGAACTTGCCCCTCAGTTGCCAGAAGATGAAGATAGGAATGACAAACAGTATTTACACATGGATGCTCATGAGAAATCTAAATTTTCACCTGTAGGAAAAGTTGCTGATCATGTACATTGGTTCAACAAACTTTCATTAAATGAACCAGTTTCTGCAGCAAAAACCAAACCACCACTTAAGTTCCAGCGTACACCTGTCCGTCAATCTGTAAGGAGAATGAACTCTCTCCTTGAAGCTAACAAGCAGTCAGTTGCTTGTAAACTAAAGAAAGCAGGAGAAGAATGTCCTTCTCTTCCAAAGTCATTGAGCTATGAAACTGTGCTCTCTTCTTTCTGTGCAGAAAATAAATCAAATACATTTTCACTGATTCCTGCAGAAGTAACACACCAGCCAACACCTGATGAGTTTGCTGTATCTTCCAGATCCTTTCCACAGTTCACACCTGCATTAGACCAAGCCATCAAGCCTGGTGCAACCTACAAAAAGAGTGTGACTACTAATTCACATTCCAAGGCTGTGCTTGAGGACCTAACTAATCACGAAGCACCAAAAACTGCTGTAAAACTGAACACAAGTGGGACTGTTTCACATAATACATCTGATAAATGTATTCTCAGGAAAACAGAAAGAACGGCTCAGTATAGGGGTTCTCCAAAAAACCCAATAGCCACTGTGAAATTTCTTCCAACTGTTAAACCTCTTGACTTATAGGTTTAAAAGTGTAGTCTCGGTCTTATTTCAGTGATCTGAAATTAGTATTGCACCCAAGTCCGTTAGCTGTTTGTCTTAAACTATTGAATCTGCCTTTACAGTGCTGCCAAGGGCAGAATGTAAGTGGATGTTTCTTCATGTCAATGAAAACGTACATTGTGACTGAAACTTGAACAAGTGAAATCTTTTGGGTAGTATTTTTTGTGGCTCCTTGATCAGTATTTGATTTTATGTTTTGACTGGATTGTGTGTGGGTGCTTGCTATGTAGCTACTGTTAATTCAGATTTCAGAAATTACAAGGCAGCAGTTTCTAGTTGATCTTCTGAAGTTTTTTTAAGTTGTGTTTGTAAAGAAGTGCAGTCCTTATTTGCAAGGTTTAACATGCAAGGCTTGAATTTTGCAAGAGTTGTTTTGGATACTTGGCAAATCCAAGTAAATGTTAGGTTTCTTGTCAGGCACTTCCTGTACAACTGTTTAAAAACTAGTAGCAGGTGTGTGCTTCTGGTACAGGAGGTGAATTTTTTCTTTTACCACCAAATTTACCATTTTTCTGTATAGACAACCTTGTAATTCTACATGGATGCACATTGAAACTCCTGTGACAATACACGGGAGACTATTCCAAGACTGCTGTATGTCTTATTTTCTGTGTTGCATCTGGATGAGGAGGGTTAAGAGTGGATGATATAAAATAACCTGCAAGTTGTTAATTCTGTTGGAGTGATATGATACAGCAGTTTGCACAAATCCAAATAAAAGTGTGTTGATTATGTCACTGAAATTAAACAAACTGTATTAAGCCATACTGTTCATTTGTACAGGTATTTAGATCAATCTCCAATACTGAAACGTGTTCTTATTTGTTCTGTGCCTAAATTATTTAAATTTGAAATTGATTTTTCTATAGCTTCTCTGTGTACCTTCATGTGTGATAAGAGTGCTAAGAACTCTTATTTCAAAAATAATAAAACTTTTTTCTATATTGTATATGGTTCTTATTATAGTGTCCTGGTCTAATATTTTAATATTGTTTTGACATTCTGCTTTTTTTTTCCTCCTGCAAGAAACCCAAGGGGGCTTTCATGACTCCCTCTCCATTTTATCCTTACAACAGCCGTGAGAGTCAGTGACTGAGCTAGTGAGCTTTCATGGCTGAGTGGGAACTAGAATGCAGATCTCCTGAGTCCCAGTCCAATATTCTAACCACACTGGCTCTCAGTGGATATCTACTTCTCTATCTGCTGTATGAACATTATAGAAAGGCTATTTCATATTAAGGACAATTAAGAAAAATACTGGCCTTCAAACAATGCTGCTTATTATTTTAACCACAGTTCTCTAACTTGAACATATATTTGCATTCAAGGAGTTCAATGAACTTCTCTAGGACTGTAAATTAAGGTACCAACACTCCGCCAAACTTCTGACTCCCACATTCTAATACTTTAATGTTTTCCTTGCTCTGTGATTTTCTCAGTTGACTGCAACAAATTGGAGAAGGGATTTGGGACTGAACATTTTATCACTTTAAAAAATCATCCCTTGAATTTGCTAATGAGCCAGAGCAGGAGTAATAAACTATGAACATCCTGAAAGGTGATACAGCTGCAGGATTCTGGACATTCTTGAAGGTCGAACCTACATCAGACATATTACAGAAGTTACAGAATCTATATTCTGCAGCTATAAGTCCATGCAATCTGTGATGAAGGTATTTAATTTGTATAAGAGTCTAACATTTACAACTGAGAGGTTTATTTTAAATAAGTTTCTGATATTTAATGACTTCTAATGAAACTTTGCCTGTAATAAATCTTGATATTTTATTTGCTACATTTAATTCCATTCTTCAAGGGGCTCAGGTCTGTGGTTCTCTTATCACAACTGCCAGATGATCATATTAAGTCTCCCTACACCTGGTCCAAAGCTTTAATTTTACTGAAATAAGCTGTAGTCATGTTCTGATAAATACTAACTTGTTTCTTCAACTGTGAAATAGACAAGCTTTTATTGAAGCAGCACAATCATCCTGCAAATACTGAAAGAGAATTGCGCGCTGTCACTTATAGACATCCAGACATCATCCTCTATCAGGATGATGGGTGTTAAACTTATTCTGGCTGGGGCTGTGCTTCCCTTGAAAAAACAAGTTCATAGTTTCAGGGTGCACCTTGATTAATCTTTGTCACTTGAGGCTCAGATGGTTTCAGTGGCACCAAGTATCTCCAAGCTTTGGCTGGTGTGCCACCTATGCCACTGCTTGAACAGCAATAGCCTATGCTCTGATAATTTTGAAGATAGATTAGTGCAATGCATTCTTTCTGAAGCTGCCCTTGAAGACTGCAAGTTGCAGCTCATTTAGAATGGTGGCATACAGATTAATAACGAACCTGAAGTTCCAAACATAAAATAGCAATTTGGGCCTGCTTGCATTGGCTCCCTATATGCTTCAACATGCTATTTTTAACTTAGAAAGTCCTATACTGCATGAACCCACACTACCTGATGGAACACCTCTCGTGACCTCTACCCAGACCCCATGATCTGCATCTGGGGGCCTGCCTCTGATTATGCCATGAAATGTCTCTATTTCCAGGTATTTCATGGCACACTTTGGGTTATGTCAGCTGTGTTAATAAATCTTACTGAAATTGTTTTAGATGTTGACATATATACACATTTTTCTATATTGGAGCTTTATATTGTGCTTTGTCAGTATCTGTATTTTTATTTGCTTGTTACTTTTGAGAATTTTTTGTGAACTTCCCAAAGAGGTTTGGCCATTGGACAATATAGAAATAAAATGAACAATGATAATAATATAGCCTTCTGACAGGAAGAGATTTCACACTTCTGGAATAGAATTTTAGAACTGAAGATCCAAGTATAAATCCCAACTCAGTTCTTAAAGTTACTGGGTAGTTTGAATCAGTCACTATCAGGTGGTTTAACCTACCACTGATGCTAAAGTGGGTGGGGAGAGAAGCTTATGCACTGCCTTTAGCTTATTTGTTGCAGGGTTGAGGATCTTGTGGCCCCATCATCCCTCATCATTGAACATGCTGTCTGCAGTTGGTGAGAGATAGACAACATCTGGGAGGGAGAAATATCTCTTCCATCCGTGCTTTAGAGGCAGAGCAAGGCACCATTATGTTGTTGTTAGTCATGAAGTCATATCCGACCCATCGCGACCCCATGGACAACATTCCTACAGGCCTTCCTGTCCTCCACCATCCCCCGGAGTCCACTTAAGCTCACACCAATTGCTTCAGTGACTACATCTAGCCACCTCGTTCTCTGCCATCCCCTCCTGCTGTCAATTCTTCTCAGCATTAGGTTCTTCTCCAGTGAGTCCTTCCTTCTCATTAGGTGGCCAAAGTATTTGAGTTTCATCTTCAGTATCTGGCCTTCTAAAGAGCAGCAAGGGTTGATCTCCTCTAGGACTGACCGGTTTGATTGTCTTGCAGTCCAAGAGACTCGCAGGAGTCTTCTCCAGCACCACAATTCAAAGGCTCCAATTCTTCGGTGCTCAGCCTTCCTTATGGTCCAACTTTCACAGCCATGCATTGCAACTGGGAAAACCATAGCCTTCACTGTACACACTTTTTGTCAGCAGGGTGATGTCTCTGCTTTTTAGTATGCTGTCTAGATTTGCCATAGCTTTCCTCCCAAGCAGCAAGTGTCTTAATTTCTTGGCTGCAGTCCCCAGCTGTGGTGATCTTGGAGCCCAGGAAAATAAAATCTGTCACTACCTCCATTTCTTCCCCATCTATTTGTCAGGAAGTGATAGGACCGGATGCCATGATCTTAGTTTTCTTAATGTTGAGTTTCAAGCCAACGTTTGTGCTCTCCTTTCACCCACATCAAGAGGATCTTTAGTTTCTCCTCATTCTCTGCCATTAGCATGGTATCTGCAAGTTGTTGATATTTCTCCCGGAAATCTTAATTCCAACTTGTGATTCATCTAGCCCCGCCTTTCTCATGATGTGCTCTACATATAAGTTAAATAGGCGGGGTGACAGTATACAGCCTTGTCGAACTTCCTTCTCAATTTTGAACCAATCAGTGGTGCCATGTCCAGTTCTCACTGTTGCTTCTTGACCCACATATAGGTTTCTCAAGAGACAAATAAGATGGTCTGGTACTCCCATCTCTTTAAGAACTTGCCACAATTTGTTGTGATCCATACAATCAAAGGCTTTAGCATAATCAATGAAGCAGAAGTAGATATTTTTCAGGAACTCTCTAGCTTTCTCTATGATCCAGTGTATGTTGGCAATTTGATCTCTAGTTCCTCTGCTTCTTCGAAATCGTGCCTGTACTTCTGGTAGTTCTCGGTCCACATACTGCTGGAGCCTAGCTTGTAGGATTTTGAGCATAACTTTGCTAGTATATGAAATGAGTGCAATGGTGCAGTAGTTTGAACATTCTTTGGCATTGCCCTTCTTTGGGATTGGAATGTAAACTGACTTTTTCCAATCCTGCGGCCACTGTTGAGTTTTCCAAATTTGCTGGCATATTGAGTGTAGCACTTTTACTGCATCGTCTTTTAAGATTTTGAATAGCTCAGCTGGAATACTGTCATCTCCAGTAGCTCAGACTTCCTAAGGCCCATTTGACTTCACATTCCAGGGTGTCTGGCTCGAGGTCAGTGACCACCCCATCGTGGTTATCCGGGATGTTGAGCTCTTTCTTGTATAGTTCTTCTGTGTAATCTTGCCATCTCTTCTTAATCTCTTCTGCCTCTGTTAGGTCCCTGCCATTTTGGTCCTTTATCATGCCCATCTTTGCATGAAACGTTCCCTTCGTATCTCCAATTTTCTTGAAGAGATCTCTGGTCCTCCCTATTGTTTTCTTCTGTTTCTTTGTACTGTTCATTTAAGAAGGCATTCTTATCTCTTCTAGCTATTCTCTGGAATTCTGCATTCAATTGGGTGTATCTTTCTCTTTCCCCCTTGCCTTTTGCTTCCCTTCTGTCCTCAGCTACTTGTAAGCTTCCTCAGACAGCCATTTTGCTTTCTTGCATTTCTTTTTCTTTGGGATCATTTTAGTTGCTACCTCTTGTACAATGGTGCGAACCTCCGTCCATAGTTCTTCAGGCACTCTGTCTATCAGATCTAATTCCTTAAATGTATTTGTCACCTCTACTGTATATTCATCAGGAATATGATTTAGGTCATACCTCAGTGGCCTAGTACTTTTCCCTACTTTCTTCAATTTAAGCCTAAATTTTGCAACAAGAAGATCATGATCTGAGCCACAGTCAGCTCCTGGTCTTGTCTTTACTGACTGTATAGAGCTTCTCCATCTTTGGCTGCAAAGCACATAGTCAATCTGATTTCTGTGTTGACCGTCTGGTGATGTCCATGTGTAGAGTCGTCTCTTGGGTTGTTGGAAAAGAGTGTTTGCTATAACCATTGTATTCTCTTGACAAAATTCTACCAGCCTGTGCCCTGCTACATTTTGAACTCCTAGGCCAAACTTGCCTGTTATTCCAGTTATCTTTTGGCTTCCTACTTTAGTGGGTGGTGTGGGTTTCCATGTAGGTGATTTTGACCAGCACTCCCTCTAAAGGACAGGGTCCACAGCTTGGGAGTACTCCTTGACCCAGAACTGTCACTAGAGTTCCAGGTGGCGGCGGTGGCAAGGAGTGCTTTCCTACAACTTCAACTGATCCATCAGCTGCATCCTTACCTGGATGAACACTCCCTAGCAACAGTGATACATGCTCTGGTAACTTCCCACTTGGATTACTGCAACGCGATCTATGTGGGGCTGCCCTTGAAAATGGTCCAGGTACTTCAGCTGGCGGGGACCGGCCATTACTCTCACATAAAACCCATACTCTACCAGCTCCACTGGCTCCCAGTTGAAGTCCGAACCCAATTCAAGGCCCAGTTTTAACCTATAAAGCCCTGAACGGCTTGGGACCAGGATACCTGAAGAGCACCTCTTCCCTTACATGCCCTCACGCCCCTTAAGATCTGTGCGAGAGGCTTTGCTCCGGGAGCCCTCTTTAAAGGAGATAAAAAGAACAACTACCCTGAGCAGGACCTTTTCTGTGGTGGATCCCAGATTATGGAATGCACTCCTTGGAGAGGTGCACCTGGCATCGAGTTTATATTCTTTTCAGTGCCAGGTTAAAACCTTTTTATTTAATTACTATTTTAAAAATTAATATTTTATCGTTAACCATTGCTTTTGTTTTTATATAATTTTATGGATTTTGTTATTGTTTATTGTTTTTAATTGTATGTTGTGAGCCGTCCCAAGATGCAGAGGCATGTGGTGACAGCATATAAACGTTTTAAATAAATAACTAAATAAATTCCAATCCCCCATGATGATAAGGACATCATTTTTTGGTGTTGATTCAAGAAGGTGTTGTAGGCCTTCATAGAACTGGTCAACTTCAGCCTCTTCTGCACCAGTGGTTGGGGCATAGATTTGGACTACTGTGATGTTGAATGGTTTGCCTTGGATTCGAACTGAGATCATTCTGTCATTTTGGAGATTGTATCCCAGTACTGCTTTTCCTACTCTTTTATTGACTATGAAGGCTACTCTATTTCTTCTGAGGGATTCTTGCCCGCAGTAATATATCTGATGGTCATCTGAATTCAATTCACCCATTCCTGTCCATTTTAGTTCACTGATTCCTAAGATGTCAATGTTCAGTCTTCTCATCTCTTGTTTGCCCACATCCAGCTTGCCTTGATTCATAGATCTTACATTCCAGGTTCCTATGAAATATAGATCTGTGCAGCATCGGACTCTCCTTTCACCACCAGATACATCTGCAACTGAGTGTCCTTTTGGCTTTGACCCAGTTGCTTCTGGTGCACTAGTAGCACCATTCTTTCTGGTGCTACTAGTACTAGCCCTCTGCTCTTCCCCAGTAGCATATTGGATACCTTCCAACCTGAGGCGCTCATCTTCTGGCGTCGTATCTTTTTGCCTTTTGGTACTGTCCTTGGGGTTTTCATGGCAAAGATACTAGAGTGGGTCGCCATTTCCTTCTCCAGTGGATCACCTTTTGTCACAGCTCTCTGCTATGACCTGTCCGTCTTGGGTGGCCCTGCACGGCCACAGCTCATAGCTTCATTGTGCTACACAAGCCCCTTCATGAAGGAGCACCACTGCGAGTAATTCATGACTGGGGAGAAAATGGACAGCGGGAGGGGGGTCTTAGTCGGGGTCGCAAATATTCCATCCTCCCCCTTCTCTCCCGACCCTCCAGAAAAAGCCGCTTACTAAGACTGAACTTCTCTATATTCAAAAGGTCGGGAGTGAATTAAAGGCAGATCAGCTCATGCTCGCTCCCCGCTTGGAGACCGTGGCCTCCAGATCTCTAGCCCAGCCTGCGCAATGGGAAGCGGAAAGCCCATCTGGCGGGGCTTGCGTCTCCCTCCGGGGATCCTGGCAACCACTCGCGCACCTGCCACGGGAAGAGAAAGGCGGGGCGAGGCGCTGCTCCCGCAGCAAGGCCCCGTCATCGCGCTGACGGCGTGCCCCGCGTTCGGGCAAGCAAGTGACGCTCCAGGCCGTCGCGCTGCCTGCGCCACACAGCGGCGAGTGCGCGGCATCGGCAGCAGCGGCAGCAGCGCTCATCTTCCCGAGCTGCACGGAGGAGAAGCACAAGCGTACCCGCCATCGAGGCTGAGCGAGGAGGGAAAGCCAAAAGAGCGAGGAGCCTCAGAGGAGCGAGGAGGTAGTCTAGAGCGCGGGAAAGGTCTTTATTGGGAAAAATGGAGGCGGGGCGCGCGCAATGGAGGGCCGAGAATGAAACGGCAGCTGCTGCGGCGATGGAGGGAGGGTGCTATGGCTGGCAAAAATAGGCATATAAAAATGATCATTTTCATTATTCATATTAAGCAAAGGCCTCGGCTTGGTTTTTCCCCCTCGCTTTTCTCTCTCCCCCCGAAGAATTTAATAGAATAAAGACGGCGCATCCCCCGCACTCTTTCAGTTTTATTATTGAGAGCGCGTTTCTTTTTTTTAATAGCAAGACGGGGACGTTGCTGGCATGGAGATCTGTGGGGTTTTTCTATTCTGACCCCATGTCTAACGCAGGGAGGAGCCAGGTACAAAAGCAATTCCACAGCACGACCGCCTTTTTAGCTTCTCTGTTACCATATTCTTGATGAAGTTATTGTTGTTAATATATTTTTGCCAATTTAGGGGGAATGGAAAAAGAAGAGGGAGTAAAAAATTATTTATGCTGTTAACGCCTGCAAACCCTTTTTGGAAGCATGCACCTTAGCTGGCCATTCATGTTAATGTATTCTTCCAATTTTCTTTATGATGACGATGACGATGATGAAGACGCATGTGCAGTCCGCATGTGCAGTCCCTAGTATGTCAGGTTCTCCCAGAGTGCACTGAGAGAAAATGAGGTTTCTGCTTCGATTTGGGGTACATTTACGTGCATTGAACTTGGTGATTCTGGCTTCTGAGCAGAAATTTATGTTGTTGTTAGTCGTGAAGTTGTGGCCGACCCATCGCAACCCTATGGACAACATTCCTCCAGGCCTTCCTGTCCTCCACCATCCCCCGGAGTCCACTTAAGCTCACACCAACTGCTTGAGTGACTCCATCTAGCCACCTCATTCTCTGCTGCCCCCTTCTTCTTTTGCCATCTATTGTTCCCAGCATTAGGCTCTTCTCCAGGGAGTCCTTCCTTCTCATTAGGTGGCCAAAGTATTTGTGTTTCATCTTCAGTATCTGGCCTTCTAAAGAGCAGACAGGGTTGATCTCCTCTAGGACTGACTGGTTTGATCGCCTTGCAGTCGAAGGGACTCACAGGAGTCTTCTCCAGCAAGAAATTTATAGGAACATGCTAGAAAGCTCACTGAACTGAATAAAATGTGCATATAATTTGGTGGGGATATATAAAAGGGAACTCAGAAGTAGCATTCTATTAACCTTAGGAGGAAAGCAACTGGTGATTTGTTGGAGTCTATTTGCTTAATCTCTAAAGCCATTTGGAAAAACTTATCTGATGGGAACAAACAGATTTTGTGCTCCAGTGGAAAGTGGGGGAGATGTCTGGTGTTTATGACGTACAGTCACCTGACAGATTGTCCATCTCCTGAATAAAATAAACAATACATGCAAGATTATATAAACATAATCTTCTTTTCAGGGTTTTCCAAATCAAAGCCATGACATTGCAGAATTTCATTGCATGATTAGTCAAAAGGAACTGAAGTGTTGAAAGGGGGCTTTTAAGCTCAGAACAGGGACCCAATTTGAAATCCTGGTAGCTAGAGGAAGAACACCTGCACAATGCAATGGTTAGACTACTGAGTTTCAGTTTCTAAGTCTTTTTTTTAAGATTTGGCTATTTCTTTTCCATAAAATTATTCCTACTAGTATTACTTCATCTTGTTCTTGTCAAATTGTCGCATGATCTAATCTTCGAGGCTTGCATAAATGTTTCCACCATGATGCAATCCCACAGTGCAGAGTGGATCCTGCTATGGAAGGGTTAGCAACATTTGATTATGCCCCTCCAGATGTTTTGGCCTGCCACTTGCAGCATACCTCACCATTGGTATGCTTACTAGAGCTGGTAGGCCAGATTATCTGCAGGACTTCAAAACCAGCTTTCTATGTGTTCTTCTTAGTTTATGGGAGGTTTTGTACAACACAGTAAGGCACGCTGCATAGGAGCTACACAGTGTAGCAGTCAGACACATTACAGGTAGGGTGCCTCCTTCTCCCTTTCAGCTACTCCAGGAAGGGCATAAATTGTACAATGCTTCCCCGCCATCCCACTCCACAGTGGGACTACCTGTCACCACACCCAGCCAGAAGGCCTGGCCACAAGGTACAGCATGCAGCATACCATGCTGTAAGGGTGGCCTAGCAGAACATACTCAGTCCTTGCCCAGCCTGGTGCTGCCAGGCGGCTAGCATACTGGGCAGTGATGGAATGAGCCATGCCCTCTAAACCTACTCTAGAAGAGGCCTAGCTGAATGCACACCCCCATGCTTGGCACAGTGGTTGCAGGGCTGAGCCTACTGCAGAGTAGGCTGAGCAGAACACATGACCACAGCGGTGCAGGGATAGACCAACCCGTTCAACTGGTGCTTACAGCAGCACAAGAAGCATCCGACAGCTCTCCCAAAGTGTTCCTTGGGCACTTCATGGATGCTGTTACTGGGGCACACCCAAAGCCTCTTGACCAGAGCAACAGCCCCTTTTTGCCATTCCTGCCAAGCAGCTCTGTCACAGTTTGGCTTGCCCTACTGTGTGTTACATCTTCTGAGTTTGGATGATACGGCAAGCAGAAAATACGTACAAATCCTAGAAAAGGTAGCGGCTACTCAGGGTTGGTTATAAGGCAAAATAAGGCCTTACTGGGTTCAGGGAACATGCTAAGGCAGAGTGGGTTGTTTTTGGGTTTAATAAACCCACCATGCCTTAGTGGCTCACTGAACCCAGATGATATGCTAAGCCACAGTTAAGCTAAAAGACTGCAGAGCTTCTTGGCCAAGCGGCTTCAGCTGATGATGCCAATAAAGCTTGTTGCAAACCACCCAGAGAGCTTTAGCTGTTGAGTGATATAGAAATAAAATAAAGTGCCCAACCTGCATACTGCATGGTCATCTTTGATCATTCCTCGCAAGTCAGAGCCTAAGGAGGTGGCATGTGGCAGAGAAAGAAGGCACTTGAGCAGATGCAGGGCCAGTCAGCCGGATCCCCTCTGCTACTGTGGCAGTGTACAAAATGAGCCTCTCTGATTGCCTTCCTTAAGAGTGGGTAGCACCCCTGACCAGTTTCCCACTGCTGTGGAGAGGAAAGAACCGGGGGGGGGGATCTCCTCCCTTCCCCATTGCCTGGCAGAGTCATCAGCTCTTGCACCCCCATCTAGGGGCAGTGAGCACAAGTATCTCCCACACCAGCTAGCCCAATGCCCACTAATCCCCTTGCCCACCTTTTACACCTACTTCTTCCAAGGAGGAGCTACGCAGGGCAGGCAGTGGTGCCATTGGTGCCAGCCCAGCACTGTCTTTTCAAGTCCCACTCAGGACTTGGGGAAAGGTGCATGTCAGACAATAGTTCACCGCCATATCCCCTGGTGTGTGTGGGGCCTACAAGGCACTGCACCAGTTGAGGGCAGAGGCCTGCTTGTTGGGCTACCGTGGCTTCCTCCCAGGGGGATGCAGCTGAACATGCCCTTTCTTATCCCTGTCCACAGCCAAGGGAGCTGAGTAATAGCTGCAGGCGAGGCCAGTCCATTCAGCTAGGTCTCTCTGGGAGGAGCCTGGCCGGTCATCCCCTGTCCTCCCACCCCAGCTTCCCTGCTCCTTTGCTTCTGCTGATGTGAAGGAAGTGGAATTGCTCCCCTCCGTGCTCCCACAGTGTCCCCTGGGCTTAAAGTATCATCCAAGCCTGCCCAGTGAATGGGTTCATATAACATGATAAATTGTGGTGGCCTATAAGCCAGGGATGGCTTGCTGTGTTGTCCAAACACATATGCCTATATGTTTATATGAGTGGTGGTCAGTTTTCTCAGTACACATACGCAGTGGAACAGATGGATGTAATGGTCACACTTGAAAATCTATATGCAGCCACGTGATTTCTCCTAAAGGAAAGTATTTATTTAATTACATAACACTTGACTTTCAAGTATTTAGGGGGGATTACATGGATCATTTAGTTGGGATCATTAGATAGCCCTGTAAGGTAAGTTACAGTACCCCACCTCTGCACATTCTTAGCTGGGATTATGTCAGGGTCCAGGGCTAGGACATGAGCAGCCATGGACAAGAGCAACAGAGGCTCCAGGGCCAAGGAAACAGAATTTCAGGCAAGACAGAGTCTAAAAGCAAGGTTTAATGGCAAGTCTAAATCAGAGCCATAGTACAGACCAGGGTCTGGAAGCAGAAGTATGCATCAGGGCAGAATAAGGACATGGTCAGGAACTAGCCAAGGGGAGATAACTAGGGGGACACAAAGAGGTCCAGGTACTTTGAACAGGATAACAGGGCAGGTGACACAGCAAGGCAGGATACGCAGCAAGCATCAGTTGATGCAGGCACTTGAGATAAGCCACACAGCAAGGCAAGATATACAGCAAGATACAGGAGACAACAAACCAAATGCAGCAAGGACCAGGCAGGATGCAGGAGCTGAACCTCAGCTAGCAGACAAACCCACATTGTGGAGGCAACTCAAGGCAGGATACTCAGAAGGACCAATCAGACAAGGTGTACATTACTGAGGGGAAAGCTTGCTTTTATATAGCTCTCCCCTGCACCTCAAGACCTCCATCTGGCACTCCTCAGTAGACTGGGACCATTCCTGCTAATATGCTGGTGGTCCTGGTCCTGGTCCTGGACACCAGAGCAGTCCAGATCCCAGGAGATGCCACACATAAATCACATGTTTTTTCTCACAGTTTCAGCTCTGCCTTTGAGGGGGGTGTGCAGGAGCATATGACATTTTGCATCCTTATTAATTTACTTCATTATTATTTTGGCACAGGTTGAAGAATACCGATTGACACCGCCATGACTTCAACTTTGCTTTGCAGCAGCTTGTTACTTCTGCTGGCCTTTAGACTAGCTTTGACGTTCAGTCACAGTCCCAGGAGCCCAGACAGAGTTTCTGAAGCTGATATCCAGAGACTTCTACATGGGGTTATGGAGCAACTTGGCATTGCGAGACCCAGAGTTGAATATCCTGCACACCAAGCAATGAATCTAGTAGGCCCACAGAACATTGAAGGTGAATTATGTATCACTTTGAATTCTTATCACCATTAGAGTTATCATTATAAGATTTTTAAACAGCAAGTTTTTGTGCATCACTGTGCTTTGGCTATGGATTTAAATCAAATGAAAAACCAGTAACAGAAAATAAAATTATCTATTTGATGGATTTTCTTATAAACTTAGTGTACTTTGATATGCAAATACTGGTTCAAGCTAAGCTCTAAATACATTTTTAGAGAGTAAGGAAGAAGTGCTATGCACACTTCCCTGGAAACAAAACGAATTACATACTAAGTAGAGGTACATAAGACAGCACTGCAGGTTCCTTGGTAAGTGTGCTGCAGTTCTCTTTTTGTATAGAAGTTGCACTGAGATGCAACATGCATAGAGATGACACTGCATAACCTTGGCTATTTGGTAGTATGTTATCTAGCAGTTTATTAAAAACAAAACAAGTGATTGTAGGTGCACTTATCCCATTGCAGGTGCATTTATCTGCATTAATATCCAAGGTATGAAAACCCTAGTGCATGTAATAGAAAGAGGCATGGGGGCACTAGGATTGTTGCCCAAGAGAAAAGGGGGAGGCAGCCCAGAAGTTTGTGGACCACTGCTCTAGAGTATCATACTGGGAAGGAAGCATGACATTCATACTTTTATCGGGTGGGCAACTTGGGGGCATCCAGATGTTTTGAACTACAACTTCCATCAGCCCTCACCATTGGCCATGTTAGGGCTGGTGGGAACTGTAGGCCAAAACATCTGGAAGGCCTCAAGTTGCCTAACACATGTGTTATGCTAGTAATCTGTGGCCCTTCTGGCAGAGACAGAGAAAGCTCGGCTTCTGTAACTGTGCAATACTTTCTACTGAGATATTTATTAGTATGTAATATGAGAATAATTCATTGCATCACAGCAACCACATTCATCATCTATTGCTTTAACATAAACTTTATTTCATTCCCCACCCCCACCCCAATTATATCATGGCAGAGAGTTAGTATTATCTTCTAGTCTATATTGCATAATCTGACCTATTACCTGGAAGGTGATACACAAACAAAATGTTCAACTTTATGAGATAGTTGCCCACATTATAGTGACCTGCTCAATTTTTGTAGTGGCTAAAATGGGAGTGCACACAGGGGAGATGATTATCATTTTAATTATATGGGGAGGGAAATGATAGGTCAGGGGGAGAATGTGTTATAAATTGAGTGGGTGGGTGGAAATTGTGGAAAGAAAATGGATAGTACTATTCAACAGTCAGCTGCTGTTTGCCAGTTGGGTGATGTGCAGATCAAATAAATAAATGCCTCCTGCCCTCTATCAATTTTGAAGAGCTGTTCTTGCCTCCCATCCTTGTATCTAATCTGAACTGTGTTTATTTACTGACATATCATTTATTTTATTTTTAAAAATTATGAACAGCATCTTTATCCTAAGGATTTCACAGTGATATATACTGTATAAAGATTAAGCATTTGGTACAATAAGAACAAACTTCAATACAATAAAATGGAGAGGCATAAAAACAGTTTTACTGGCTTAAAAGAAATATAAGTTTTGATTTAATTTTTAATGTTTGGACAAATAAAATGGTTTCAGCCTGGCACCAAAAAGAATGCAGTATTGGTGTCAGGCATGCGTCCCACAAGAGGGCATTCTATAGTTGGGACACCAATACAGAGGATGCGTTTTTTGTAATTGATAAATTTTCATTGTGGGTGGAGGATGGTGTCTTCTAATGGCCTTAATGCACATGCTGGTGGATATGGTAGGATGCACTGTATCAAATATTACTAGTGTAATATTTACAAGTAATACTATTACAAGTATTACTAGTGTAATATGGCTTTACCTCCACAAATCAAAATTTAAGCAGCTAAATACTGACTAAATCAAGTTTACAAATGAGCTTCAAGGGTAGTCCTATATATAATTGTTAGAATAAATCCATCCTGGAGGTTATGAGAGCACAGATCAGTATAGTAAGGCCACCCATCCATAGGATAGGCTGTATCTGACAAATCAGCTGAATCTGGCAAGGCTAGGTGGACCTTAAGGGACAGTGTCCATGAGGACCTCCATGCTGCCCTCCCATCTCTTCAGAGCAGATGGCGCACCAACTATTTGCAGTTCCATGTTGTGACAGAGAATGCCAAAATTATGTGTTGTGTGGAAAAACAGTATTTTCTTTTGTACTGAAACACTTTCATTGGGTGGCATCCAGTTCTTGTATTATGAAAAAGTGAGAAAAAGTTCCTCTGTATCAATTTTCTCTGCACTACATAAATATAGCAAATAGCCTTCCCGACAAGTCAAAACAGAATATAGAACAATGAGTTGGATTCAGTATTGCTCTTCTGCAAATAGAAGGGTTCCTTCTGTTCATAAAAGGCCCAAGATACAGAGAAGTATTCAGAGGTATAAGGGGCTGCAGGAGAAAGGGCAAATTGGCAAATATTGTCTTCCACAACAGGTACATCCTGTGAATGGAATTCCAGTCACAGCTAGTCTGAGACATGCCCTAGAGCTTCATTTAAACTTTTGCAGTTTGAAGTTATTACAGAATGAATAGCTATGTGCTATTGTATTTCAATGTATTTTATTGTGTTGTAAGCCGCCCCGAGGCTTTGGCAAGGGACGGCATAGAAATGTAATAATAATAATAATAATAAAAATAATAATAATAATAGCAACAACAATAACAACTATCTTTATTTATACTTTGTTGTTCATCACCATTCTTTACAGTGAAAACATTAAGATGAAGTATATGGATTACTCCATTATCATCTGTACCATAAACCTGTCTGGTTGGGGGCGGGGCATGCACAGTCACCCAGTGAATGTCACAGTGGAATCAGGGCTTGAACTCCAAGAGCCCTGGGCAAAATTGAGCACCCTAGAGGAATGCTTAGTATGTTACACTGGCTTTTCGTTAACCCTGACACTCTGAAAAGGACCTAAACATGTTCATGAAACTCTGCCATGGGCAAAAACTTTGCCACTAAAATAGCATTCAGCGTGATAGATGCTTTGCTATTCCTTGCACAGACATTAGGTGGCTGTTGAGTGCTGGATATAAATTGTAGGACTCCACTTAGGACAGTATTTATACCTTTTAGTCAGCAGATGGTGCACTGTAGTTAATAGCTAAGCAGAAGCCAAATGCACTTCGCCAGAGTGTAATGGAACAAAGTCCAAGATGTTAGGATTACAAATCAAAGCTCTATGTTAACAACAATTTATTTGCTGCTGACTTTATTTCCTTTGAAGATTTGCTATAATTCCTTAAACGAACAAAACAGTTAAGTATACCAGTAACCACTACAAGCCTTCCTGTATTTCTCATTCAAACTGCTGTATTGGTGTCAATATGAATGGACAGGCCACTTGAAAGTAAGTATAAATATTTTTAAAACTAACTTATTTTCATAGCACATGTCTACTCCAAAGTAAGCCACAGTAAACTAAATGTGAGTTACTCCCAAGTAAGTATGTTTAGGGCTGTATTCTTAAAGCTCAATCCTATGCAAGTTTATACAGAAACAAGACCTTTTTAAAGGCAAGCTTATACAGAAAAAAGGCCTCTGTCTAAACTTGTGTATGTTTGTGCCCTTAATACAGTAATCTAAACTAGAACTTGGCTACAAAAGATGCAATCTCTTGCAAAACCTCATTCACTTTGACTGGATTTGGAACCTTTTGGAGTCCAATCTCATCTGCCCTAACTTCAGAGTGCCAACAAGGAACCAGAGAAGAAATTTGGAGTTACCTTAACTGGCTTATGCAGTGCACTAAAGCCTTTCAAATAATTTTGCACTGGTGATGATCAGCTAAACAGCTGGGAAAAGGGCCAACCAGTCCTGCCACTTGCATATATCAATCCTATTGTCATAGTGTTCCGTCCTGTTCTGCTGCAGCTTTTAATCAGCAAAGGGACTGTTACAAAGTAAACGGCTTAAGCTTTTAGCCTGAAAGGCATGACTTTTTTGTTTGTTTGTTTGGCTTTGTTTTGGTTTAGGAATGTAAAATAAGACAGAGATAAATTCAGCAGCTAATTACATCTAAACAACATCTCAAATCAAAATTAAGTGTTCACATATACAGTATTTTGTGTAGGACACAATGGTTCCAATATGTTGGCCAAGTCTCCAAATGAAAATAAAAGTTAAGATCTGATGCATTCTGCCTACAGACTCTTAAAAATTAGACAACAAGAATGCCAGACAGATTCCAGTAACTACCACTTCTTCACCAATGGGGATTTATTCTCCGTTGCCTGTTGTTCTTTTTTAGGTTTTTATTTGTTTGTGTTTTGTTTTGTTTTGTTTTTTGCCACCAAAATGGTGCTTGATAGTTCTTAAGCTTTCTTCCATGAATGACTTGTCTAGTCTAAAATGCTTGCTGGCAAGAATACTTTCTTGGTATAATGAAGCAGAAGATAAAATTTGGCCCTTTCAGGTTGTAACTGAAGCACCTAAGGAGACATGTTTGATGCAGATAGTACCTTGGCAAACTACATATTTTGTATCCAAATATCAGTTAAAATTACTCTGTTAATCCTTAAGATTACTAAAAAAACTAAAATAATTTGCTTGAGGAATGTCACCAGCCATCTATATGATATATAATTTCTGAGTTTTTGTATCAGTATATCAGGGATTTTGTGATTGTCATGAATATCAACATTATATATTAATCCTGCTCATCTTTGGAGGGGAGTCCCATCAACTGTGTGTGTTTTAGGACAGGTTTCTCTCTATGTGTGTGAAGATCCCAGTTCTGGGAAGAGGAAGGGGATGAAAATAAACTCTTAATATGAATTGTGATCCCAGAGATCAAGTAAACATAAAAGCAAAAGAGGCTGCTGGATGTTGCTCAGGTATTACTAGAGACCTTTAGCCACAGTTTCTGTACACTGTTTGGCCATACGCATAGGTTTGGACTGGCTTAAGAAGCTATGGATGAGCCGAAATGCTCCCTGGGCAGGTGATAATTATATATTAGCGTGTTCTTTCCTTCCTTGCACCACTCCTCCCTTTCTATTCTTTTTCAGCCACTGTTTTCAATGTCACCAAGAGGGCGGTCTTCTATTAATGTCTGTGGTTGACCATGTATCATGTTTATACTGCATTATTTTGATTCTGGAGCTGCACTGCCTAGTAAACCTAACATTGAAAGTACAATGCCAGAATTAATGGTGTGTTTGAATTACTGTCTGCAATAAAGCAGTCAGCACTTTGTTTCTGCCACTCTGCTCCTTTACTGGGTAAACAGTTCATGAAGGTTTATAAGGAATATGATTTGCAAACACTATAAAATCACTCAAAGTGCAAAAATAAGGCATTAAAATCAGACAGTTATTGGCTTTGGAGAAACAAAAGAGTTGGGGTGGGTGGAGGAATTTTGAACTGAAGGAAACAATAATGTGCCTTGGTATAAAAAATTGCTTTGTATGTAGTCCAGAGAAATGTTGGCAAGCACTCGAAAACGTAACTATATACACAAAATAAATAATAGACTATATATGGAGACTGTGAGATGCCTTTTTGCATAGTGGGCAGAGCTCTGGTGTAAAGGAGTCTGTGCAGTGTACAAGTGTTGACTTGATGGTTTCTGAAGAACTTCTTCTGTACTACTAAGTGGAAAATATGGCCACCCAAATACTTTGGGGAATGAAACACAGAACAATTAAATCTTGGCTTTTGGGTTTCAAAGAAGCAAACATGCATTTGAAAGTCCTGGTTTTACCTTTGTTAAAGAGATGGTGTTAGTGCTAGAAACTTTTGTTTCTCAGGACCCAATGCCAAAGGATATAAAATGGAGCATTTTCTGCAGCCCTCTTCTTCCATTATAGACACATAACAGCAAAAAGGTGTTAAATAATCAGGATACAACCAAAACCAACCAGCTGCTCAAACCAACCTGCTTGGAGGAACTGTGCCAATTTACTGTATTACCTGTGTAGACTGATTTAATTTGTCCCCATATCTGTTTGAAAGTTTATTCCCTCTAAATCTAGGATTTTTAGGATGGTATGTGATTTAATGTGGAGTGAGTGACATCCAAGGAGAATTCTGAATGTTTGCACACCTTGTATACAATCTTTGGTGGTTAATGCTAGATTATTCATTCCAGAATAAAGAAGTTCTTGTTGCTATCTGATCTGTTGAACTACTGGTATGCTACTTTGGGCTGCTTCTCATTATCCCATCAAAGATAAAAAGTGAATTACTTCAATCTGGCCACCTCCACTATTTTTAGATAAATAGGAGTGCTGTTTACACAGAATCCACCTTGGCATGGGATCCATAAAGAAACTCAGTGAATTTAAATAATTGGGAATGTGTTGCATATCTGAACATAACAGGTCAAATTGCTTTGTAAAATTGGTAGACTATATAGTCTAGCATTACAATGACCAGTTAGATACCACTTTGATATCCTAAGTCATGGCACAAAATTATTTATTTTCAGTATAGAAGTTCCATTTAACTGACACAGCTAGCAGGAGTACTGGATACTATCTTTCAGGTAAGAGTTGAATTGCTGTGCATAAGGGAAATACAGAATCTTGGATGCCAAATTTAAAGTGGTTAACTTCTGCTTAATGCTATTTTTTCATATGGACTTTTTAGCCATATGACTGTACTTATGTACACCCTTCACTTAATTAAGTTTCCATGTAAAAGACACAAAAACAAGATGCTTTGCACAATTACCATTAGTCTTAAAACATCTGGACTCTTTCCTGTGGTTGGATTTATATAATTTCTAATGCAAATATATAATTTTTGCAAAGCTGCACACTGAATAGTATTTTAAAATGGTATGCTTAACTTTGCCTCCCTGCAGAGTGAAAAATCATGTCACTTGGATGAAAATGTATACTATGGAAAAGTATGTCAACCATGTTGCAGTGCAAAATGTTCATTCTGGGAGGGCACAGGATTCTTCAGAGTCCTACTCTGAAGAATCACAGAACCGGGAGTCCAAAGGCCAAGCCTCCAACCTCTCACAGCCACTGTGGAAGAAACAATGATGGCTGCTCCCCCTGCAAGATCAACCCTGGCCCTTAGAGGGGGAAGGGCGGGAGGAGGGGGGAGCTGGGGTTGCAGATTCTGATCAGCATTGCAGCCTTCTTATCTCCCCTTTCCTGGTTCTAAATCCAAAAACAGCTGACTAGAGAACATACAAGGTGCAAGGTGAGGCAGAGACAGAAAGTGCCACCACTCTGACTTGTACCTTGCACTAGGTGCTCAGAAGCATCTGAGTGTGGAGACTTACGGGCGCCTGCCATTGGAAGTGACAGGATCACACCTTGGAAAGGAGAAAAGCAGTCTAAATCTGGGGCATAAAGCCATATTTATGTTCCTGTTTGTTAAATAACAAAAGTGACCAAATGTTCCAGGCGAGTCACTGACAGCCTGAAACTAATCGTGTTCTGTAGTTGTTATAACAAAGGGCAGAGTGGTTTGCACTCACCAAGGGTGAGTGGGAGCAAATCTTTTCTACCATTCCTACTGACAGTTTCTACCAGATCTTAACTGGTTTTGTGGGACTGCACTGATGGCTTCACAGTGGTTTATTTGCACTTATGATACTTTGTGGGAAAACTGTTTCCATCCTGCCTACTCTCTGTGTGGTGCAATAATTTAATGTATAACTATGCGCCAGATCAAACATGGTATTTGTTCCTGGCATTCCAAACCTGATTGATGCTGCTATCCCAGTATTCTTGGATAGTCTATGACATCAGAAAAACATTTCTTTCTGGTGCTGAAACAGTTGTGATTCACTAAGCCTAAAGTAAACACCTCCTTGTTTCATAGGACGGGGCATTAGGTTATGATCCTAAGATGGGTTGAAAAGTGCTCAGCGTGGATCCTTGCCAGAAAAACTTACTCACTCTGCAAGAAGTCTCTTAAGACTTCTGTTGATGCGGTTTTAAATGACCACATTTTAAGAGTTTAGTCACTGATGCTCTGCCTTTGCTGATCATGGAATATTTGTGGACAACTTTAATGTACTTCTTCAAATGACCTGTTTCAAGCATAGCAATAAAATGGCTAAACTGTTGGCCTGGTTTCCACTCCATTATGGACAATCCATGGTTAACAGGCATGAGTGGCTTACAACATATACACCAGGTTATGGCCTTAGAAGTGAATGTGCAATGACAGTGAGAAGGAACAGCAAGAGATTTCTGTCCAGTCACAGAGCCATTAATTTGGCTCTCCTGATAGTAGGGAAATAAACATGGTCCTTGATTTAGAGGTCTTATCAAATCTATGGGAAATCTTTATTACATTATTAAAAAGTTTGTGTGCATAATTTTCTCTTCATTAGGTGGTGCACATGAAGGTCTGCAGCATTTGGGGCCTTATGGAAATATCCCAAATATTGTAGCTGAGTTGACAGGTGACAATATACCTAAAGATTTCAGTGAAGACCAGGGATACCCAGATCCTCCAAATCCTTGCCCAATTGGAAAAACAGGTAAGCTGCATGGACTTACTACATGGTTTAGTGCTGAATTCTGAAAATACTTGTACCTGTTAATTTCTGAATTATTTTGTGCAACAGTTGGAATGAAATTGGTATAAATCTGCATGAACAATTACAGGTTTTAAAAAACTAAATTATACATTAAATAGTTCAAATTTCCTGATCACAGTATATTATAAACATAGTTATGCAACATTAAAGTATGTTTCATTTGCAAAGTTTCTTCTGATTATAAGAGTCAGGGTCTTTCTACCTGCTTTGCCCAGCCAGCATGGTGAATACTAGGAGTTTTGGGATGTTTTCCATCTAAACATGCAAAGTCTGTACCTTTAAAATTTTGGCTATTTTTGACAGAGGGTTAACTAATGTATATATGCACTGGAAACTAATGAACAGAGGAGAGGGACATGTAGGGGCAAGGGAATAATAAGGAATCATGAAGAAGATTCCGTTTCTTAGTACTGTGTTCAGTTATGTACATGGCCAATACTTTCTTGAGATATCAGTTACACAGAAAAGGAGGTGTAGAAGCTGAGATTATATATTGCATTACTCCAATTCATAATCTAACTGCGTTATGTAAGATTTGGATTATTCCCAAAACACTTTGTTAAACCAAATGACTAGCCCTAGCACAAACAGGGGGACATGTTTTGGTGCCCTATCTGAGTTCAACAAAGGCATGGACTAGTTGCTCAATTCAATTTCTTCTTGGACAGAAATGCAGTATAAATGTTAGAAAAGTTGGTGCTATTGTTCCGACATCAAAGATCACACACATTTTTACTATTATTAATTATCATCAACATTAAGAAACAGGTTTGATACCTTGTAAGCTTCCAATCTGAAAAATAGATACAAGGAAACAGCAGAGTAAGAAAATGGAAATGAAGCAAGTATAAATATAGGAAGAATGTGCAATTATTGAAATTATGTGCACTTTGGCTTAGTAAGACCATCTAGTGACTAGAATTACATTATTTAAGCCATCAAAGGTGCCAGCCAAGATGACCCTAAGTAAAATGGCATGGGATAGGTTAGACTAAAACCAAATTATGGTTTGTCAGTTTTAAACTAAGTCATTTTAAAAAGATATGTGAAACTCCACAAGGTCTTTTCTTTTGGCAGTTCTCACATCAAACTTCTAGTTTTTACAATCCTATGCACACCTACCTGAATGTAAGTGCTTAAGAACAGGACAACAGTGCTTCAAACTAAATAGTTTAAATAGTAGATTAGGTAGCCTGAGCTTCTGTATGTTTACCCAGAGGTAAGTAAGCATACATTTACATATTTAGTTTCATTCCCAATTAGTTCCATTCTTGCAGATGTCCCAGTTATGAGATGAAGGAAACAACACTATTGGTACTTTCAGTGAACATTTCCCAAAGACTTGCATATTCATGTGGTTTGAAAACCACGCCTTGTGGTGTGTGTAATAATAAACAACTATTGTGTAACTTTTTCCTTAGAAATAGCATGTAGATTTTCTTTTTGTTTCACAACTTGTATCATTCTTTAAATAGATTTGAATTTGTTTTTTTCTTCAGATGTACTTTTCCTCTTGTTTTATTTATCCCTATATATACACTCTGTTAGCACATAAAATGTAAAAATTGAAATCATATATCCAGCAGGATTGTTCTATGTAAAGAAAGAGATTTCTGACCTTCCCTCCTGCCCACATGCATTCTTTTGCCTTAATTTAAAACTACCACCAAAAAATGGTGCTTGTTCAACTAAGATGATTCATCTTGATATGAAAATTGATAACATTCCTTAGAAACTGCTACTATCTGAGCAAAGCTACTCTATTTCATGGATACATTCCTAGTAGAACCTCATATCTCACTAGGATTGAATCAAAGCAGTCTTCAGAAATTTAAATCTAAACTCTATTCTTTGCTCATGTAAAGACTGTAAAAATACACATCCGGTCCTCCAGTTACAAATGTTTGAGTTAAGAACAACCCCTATTTATGAATAAGCAAGTCTTGAAGTCCTGCCTTGTCTTTGAGTAGCAAGCGGGCACCTGCGGGCAGCAAGGAGAGAAAGGTAGGAGAGGAGTTGGAGGGGGAAAAGGGCAAGCTGTAAAGTCGGAACTAGTTCTGTGGCAACAGTGGAACTACAGTACTTTTTCATGCTCTTTGTTGTACACACAACCCTTGATGCCTCCTTCAAGAAAGTGACTCCAGTAGTAACCCCATCTCGTCGGCAGCACAATCAAAGCAGGTCCATCCTCTCCAACACCAGTCCCATCTCCATCATCATCTAGTTAATGTTAGGCTTAACGTTAGCTCAAAAGTGTTAACCTTTTTAGTATGTTTTTGTCTTTCTAACTAAACTGTTTTAAGAGCAGTACTGTATATCTACACACATGCATACAGATTCTCTTTCTCTTCAGTACCTGTAGTTACTTGATTATTAATGCATTATTATCATTACTAAAATGCTGTATTGTGTTTAAGATGTTTTAGAGTCTATGGAAGTCTTCCTTAAGTGTTGTATATGCTTTTTATATATGTTTGCTGACTTGCATACACATTTGACTTAAAGACAGTCTCAGGCCTGAAACTTGTTCTTACCACAGGGACCAGGTGTACTGAATGTGCAGCCTATTATAGAATTTCCTCAGTGAGGTTTGTAGGACCAGCTTATTAAAAGACAAGCCTACTTTAGTTGTTTCCACAGCACAATACAGTGACTAGATTGAGACACTTGAGCACCCAAACATGTGCCAGCAGTGCCCCTGCTGTTTGACTGTAGCACCCTCAGCCATTTCCTGAAGTAGTGATCATAGAGGCTGGTAAACTTGTTCCCTAGCACCTGTGAGGTTGCCAGAGTTAAACACCATGAGCCAACTGTTCCCCAAAACATGGAATTGGCTTGGGAATTACGATGTGGCAGATGCAGTTAATTAAACAAATATTAGATTAATTTATTAAAAATTGTTGATACAGAGATTCATAAAGGAAAGTTTGTACTGAACAAATTACATCTGTTTGCTTAGCAAAGCTGGGGCTATCCTGGCAGTCAGAGAAAAGGGTAGGCAGTGGGGGTTAGTAAGCTGCTTGCTTGCTTGCTTGCTTGCTTGCTTGCTTGCTTATTTATAGTGCTTCTACCCTGGTCTCTCTCCCCCCTGCCCCTGCCCACGGGCTCCCAGAGCAGTTTAAGAAGATCATAAGATAGTTCTCACCCTTAGACTTACAATTTAAAAGACACAAGGAATTAGAGTGGGAAGGATGAGGAAAAGAAGCTTTATGATGGCAATAGATTCAGTTGCCCAAATGGATGTGAATGTATTGCAGATCCATTTGTATTCAAACTTTGTGTTGTATTTGTTCTGCAATTCCAACAACCAACCCAATGAATAATCAATACCTAATGAATGTTCTCTGCAGGACTCCAAAGCAATTACAGTTTGGTTACCAAATATGAGAAGAGTCTCATTTTTGTTCTCCACAACATGAGCTCTCAGTCAACACACAGACTTTCCACTGTTGGGCACATATTTAGTTAATGACAATTCCTGGTTTTCTGGATGGAAGTGGACCAATGATCTGATACCAACATGTTGAACTATTCTACAAGACTGGATGACTTGCATTTTTCCACATATGAATGAATGCTTTTATCCATGTGTGCGTGGTACAGTCAACTTGCTCTGGAAAAAACATGGAATACACACTTTAGACTGCAACCAACTGCACAATGCATAACCAAGAACTGTGTACATGTATCAGTAAAAATATAAATATGCAATAGTAAGTTAATATATGAACTGCAGTTTATTCTACATATACATAAATCTATGATTCTGCAGGAAGAAACTAGTAACAAAATTAATTTTATGTTATATTACAAGAAACTTTAGAAATTGTTAAGCTTTACCAAGATTGAAGTTTTCAAGGAAAAATGTATTTTTAAATTCTCATCTCTTTATAATAAAATGTATTGCCTATATCTTGATTAGTTTTAATATATATTTTACAAGACATCAATATGTCAGCTCAGGTTTCCCAAAATGTCTTTGCAGTTGATGATGGATGCCTTGAAAACACACCAGATACAGCACAGTTTAGCAAAGAATACCAACTTCATCAGCACCTTTTTGATCCAGAACATGACTACCCCAGCATGGGCAAATGGGTGTGTAAATCTCGTTTATTTTCTAAATCTCAAAATAATTACTAAACTGGTACTACTAGAACTATTATGGAAATGCCCATAAACTTTAATAAGCCTTCTCCTGGAGAAACTTGTTGCTAAGAAAAATAGACAAGCCCTGTTCACAATGCACTATGCCATATCGCCAAGCATCTTATGGATTTCCAGGCTACACTGCAGGTCATTAATCTATGGTACCCTTTGTATGTGCAAAAACATAAAAACGTATGTGTGTATCAAAAAAGTAGCAATGCTAGTTCATAATTTGTGACTGTAGAATAAAGAGGCTGCATTTTAAGGCTGTCATAAGGCATTGTGTTTTGCTTATCACAGCCTGAAAGCTATCAGTGTTCATGTACGGATAAATGCATTGGTATCCTTTGTGAGCCGCCCCGAGGCTTTGTTGTGATGGGGGCAGCATAGAAATGTTTTAAATAAATAAAATAATAAATTGGGTTGGTAATGCTTATCCTTGCTGCAGTTGCAAGACAACGATAGAGCAATTGCAGTTGATTCATTTTTATAGCATTACAGCATAAACCTATGAATATTTAGACAAAAGAAAGTCCTACAATGCCCAGCAAGTAAACTTTGAGCCAGTCAAGCCAAAAATCCCAAGTGCTGGAAATTCTTAATAAATTGTCTTTGATGACCAAACAGATGAACAAAGCAGATATTGTACTCAAATGAACTGTTTATGGCAGCGGGCAGCTGGTTTGTCACTGTGTTTATGTAGTGCTGGACTAAATGGACCTTTGATCCAGCATGGCTTTTCTTATGTGTTTATGTTCTTAAGTGATTTGCTTTTGTAATATTATTTTGAGAATTTTCAAGTATGTACATCTATATATTCCCAGATGTATTCCTGAGAACAGAAAGCAAGACCCAGCCAAAATCGGTCCTCTTGGATTCAGTGGGATAGTTCTAGACACGTGTGTCATTCTCACTGAAATCAGTGGGTTAACCTTGATTGCATCATTATTGTTACTTTTGAATAATTGTGTACTGGATAATTTATTGCAATAATCATTGTTGTTTCGAAGCCATAATATTTTGTGTTCTCCACTTTGATACCTCTATGGAGAACTTCATTACAAATTTCATTGTTCATTTACTTAACAGAAATTTTATGCTGCACCATTAAGTATTGTTCTTTCCGACTCAACTACAGCTACAAGGTTGCATGACTGATGGGTCCTGGCAGTGCCTCAGCCTACCCTTTTCACGAGTAGCCAAAAGGATGGCCAAAGACAGCCGTCTAAATCTTATGCAGGATGGCAGGAGTACGAAGGCAACCTTGCCTTCCTTCAGATTTGGAGGGTTATGGGCATCATGACTGTACCCTCGGAGGTTTACAATAAACAAGCAAGCAAACAGGCAAGCAAATTAAGTACAAAATAAAATATAAGATTATAAACTTAAAACAACCTAAAATAATGAAAATGAAAAAATAACACACATGTCCCCTGAATTAATGTGCAGATTAAGACCAGAGGCTCAGACTACTTGAACTATTTTAAAGTTCTAGATGAACAGAAGGTTCTCCAGATGGTAGGTGAAAGACCACAAGGATGCCATCAGGAAAACCTCTCTAGATACACTTCTCCATGACTTGGGTGCCACTTTCAAAAGACCCCTGCTTTGGTGACCACTGGCCTCAGTTGGCTGAAGAAGAAGGACTTTAGGTTTTAGTATGTGGAAAGGGAGGAAGACACATTTTCAGGTAAAAGATTTGGGCTTTTCAATTTGGGTCTGGAAATTTATTTCTTTTATTTAAAATATTTTATACCACTTAAAATGCAAAGAAATATATCCAGATGATATACAACAACAAAAGTTATACTAGAACTATACAATATAAATATAAGAAACCTAAAATATAGCCAATGGTCTTCAATTAGAACTAAGAATGACAGGCATCACAAATCATCAAACACCAAGGCATTTTTAAACTCTTTAATATGTGCCTCATATTTCCATGCAAAGGTATTTCTGCAAATTGGGTGCCACTACAGAAAATATCTTTTTCCTGGTTGTCACCAGATTGATATCTGCCAGATGGTGCAAACAAGGAGCGCCTCTGATTATGATTATAGCAGTGAGGCCGTGCTGTGTGCAAGGAAGTGTTCTTTTGGGTATCGGAGTAGCTTGCAATGTTACAGCATGCTACCTAGGGGTATACTGCATCTTTCCCAGGCCAGATTTGAAAAGGCCCTATATCCTACCCAGAAAGGCTCCACTGAATGACACAGAGAGGATGCAATGGTGGAGATGTACCTTCAATTCCAGGACACCCAGGCAGAGAAGCTATTGGGTAGCAATGTGGGTGGTATACCAGCAGCATCTCCATCTTTCCTAACATGGCAACCCAGAATGTATGTCATGTGATCCCAGTCTATGTGATTATAACTTTGCATTAACAGGAAGGCCATTGTGAGCAAAACAAAATGGTAGCTGCTGGAAGCAGTACTTTCCACTGTTGCCAGAAAATAGGAGTAAAAAGAGAGTGGGGGCAGCAGGAGAGGGAGACCAATTTTTGTCTGCCCTGTCCTTATAGCAGTTTTAAAATTAAGCCCAAAGTTCTCAGACTCAAACCTTTGACCAGTTGTTGATAAAAAATAGCACTAAATGCCATGACAGAACGTTAAGACATTCTAATTTTAAATTAAAATCTCTGAATAAATTAAACAAATGTTTCATGCTGCCAAAAGCTCATAATGGTGGATGCAAAAGCTACTAAAGATACGAAAGCTGGAAATCTTTGAATGTGGTGTCTTTGAGCCTAGCCACATGACCATAAAAGTTAAAGCTCCCTGCTTTTTATTCTTATTTTTTAAAACATGGATTGCTGTTTGCTCAAAAGGTGCCCTTTGACAACTTCCCCTCAGGCCCAGACCACATCTGAGCATGTCATCGTTCTACCACCTTTGGGCATAAGCAACTAGAATCAAGGTCCACAAGACTTAATACTCCTGCCTTCCGGAATTCTAATATTCCTTGCCAAGTTTCCAAGAGTTGCTGGCCAGCACTAATTTATCACTGCCTACTGCATATGTAAGAATTTCAGTCTGGTTTTTTTGGTGCTGTTGGAGGATGATACAATTCATTCCCCAGCCTGGCTTCCTTATGGAGTCAGGTATTCCACTTTTTGGGAAATCAATGCTTTTATGTGAGGCACTTGAAAGTTCCCAGTCAAATTCCTGGAAAACGCCAACAAGCATTGCTTTATGATTGCAACACCTGTACATCATGCATTTGGTTACAGGCAAAAGAGCCATGCCAGATCAGTTCAAAGTCTTATTTGGTGCTTCAGTCTGTTCCCACAGAGGCAAACCAGATGCCCATGAGAAACCCACAACCAGGACATTAGCATAGTAGCACCCTCACACTTGTGTTCCCCAGCAACTGGCACTGAGAGACTTGTAAACTGTGATATTGTGGTAGTACCTGTTCATCATGACTCAAAACTGTGAATAGCTCCATGAATTTGTGTAAATCCCTTTGAAACTAGGCCAGGTCCTCTACAGCTGGTGCTAGTGAATTCCATCATTTAACTATGTGAACTGTGAAGAACTTCATTCTATCTCCGGAATCTTCCACCAATCAGCTGCATGGAATGGGCCCAGGTTCTAGTGCTAGGGCAGAAGTCTTATCTATTTTTTTTCCATACCATGAATCATTTTATATACCTCTGTCATATCCCCACTTCTGAACTAAAATATTTTCTAATCTACAGTATTTCCCTGCATATTGTAATTTCTCCTGTTAAGGCAGTTGCTCCATGCCCTGGATGATTTTTTGTTCTTAACCTTTTTTCAGGTTTACATTATCTTTTTTGAAGTGTGGTAATCCCAACTGTATGCAGAATTCCGCACATGATCACACCATAGTATTGTGGAAGGGCATTATGATATAGACAGTTTAGTTTTTGAAATATTTTTCAATGATCCTCAAAGTAGAATTTGTCTTTTTTTAACAGCAGTCGTACACTAGATTGCCATTCCATTGAGCCATCCACCATAACCCCAAGGTTCCTCCCCTGCTCACTCACCAGCAGCCCTCATCAGTATATACATGGATTTTTGTCCCAATGTATATTATCATTTTACATTTGCTTATACTGAACTGCATTTCCTATTTTAGCACTCGTTCTTTTAGTCTAGAGAGATCCTTTTGGTACTCTTCATTATTCCTTTTTGTTCTAACTTCCCTAAATAATTTGGCATTATTAGCAGACTTGGCCACCTTATTACTGATTATTTATTTGAAAAACTTCTGTAGCATTAGTCCCACTATAGATGCTCGCAGGGGAGTGATTTGTCCATTTAGTCCTGCTGTCAGTTCTCTTTTCATCAACTGGTTGCTAATCTGTAAGATGATGTTTCCTTCTATCCTGCGTCTACCAAGTTTGCCTAGGAGTCTGCTGTATGGGACCTTTTCCAACACCTTCTGAAAGTTCAAGTAAACAATGTCTACTGTTAATTCACATCTGTTAATACAACATCTGTTGTTCTTAAACTGAAACAAAGTTGCATTAAATGGCATAAAAGTTATGTAAGAAGCAAGTGGATTCGAGTACTTTGAGTACCAGAGATGAACGGAACTCATTTCTTCCACACAAAAATGTTTATGCCAAGTTTTCCTCATTTCACCAAATAATTAAGGGTAGGGGAAGGGGAAATCATTTTGTTGTTGCTATTATTAAACAATTGAAAATAAGAAATCACCTAGAGGGCTACCTATCGAACCCGATTTAACTTATGCCCACCTTTCTCTACCTTTATCACTATACTTGGCAATGTAGGTATCCTTTACATATCCGCATGCCTTCTTCAAACATTTCCTGTCACTTGTGTGCTTCTGCCTTGAACCTCAAGAAGTAAAATTCCCAATACAATCCAACCCTATGATGATTAAAATGTTCTTAATTCTTATTCAGTACTGATAGGAACAAGAGATATTCAGCATAAGAAGGCCAAGTTCTCTACTTGTGGGAACTTACGAGGCATGCATGCTGTATTTTCACATTTATCCTTATTTCAGGAGAAATATCTTATATCAGATTTCATTACCTTATCTGCACTCTGCTGACTATTATATTTAAACATTAGTTATGGTCTTAAAATATTTGAAGACAGACAAAACAAAATATGATCCTTGTTGAGTCAAAGCAGTTGAACTGAGTCTTTCTTTCTTTACAAGATGCAACTTCTAACTTTAACTGCAATGCATCTTTTCAATTTAAAAGAAAGCAGAAAAGTCTGTCTTGTAAAGAAAATTCAGGTAAAGCAATATGTTTAGGGAAACCACAGATGACACAATGCTTCCTAGAGGAAATAACATACACTTCTGTTGTCTCTTTGCATGTTAAATTGAAATTTTCCCCAGTTGAACTTGCACAAATTACTGTAGCCAAGAACGTCTCTTCTTGGCGAACTTCATCTCCGTTTCCTTGTCTCTTTGGCACAGCTGAGATGAAATAGTTGAGGTCAGGCAAAAGCTATGTCTTGTGAACTTGGGATTTAAATTAATATGAGAAGTACCAAATGGATAATGTCTGGTACAAATCACTTTAGCTCTCTAAATCATTTAGTTCTCACAAATCAAGGTTTCATTCAGAAGTGACTGTTTTGTTGTTCACTGCTTCTTTTGATATTGTAACTGTTGGATCAGTTGTTTAGATAAAATGCACAGAACATTCTGCTTTTTAAAGTATAGCTTTTAGCCTAATCTCTTTTTCTTAACTTTTTTTTCCTGGTCCCACAGTATAATCCCAATTGAAACAAAATCTGTTGAGCATGTGTTTGACATTCCTGACCATATTTGAGGCTCACTACATCTATGAAATATAGCAATATGTGGAAAAACACTCATACGAGTGATGATCATAGGCATTGTATTGTTTTTTTGCTTTTTGTAGAACGATTCTGTCAAGACAATCCTAACAGTTTTCAAAAAATTTAATCTATTAAAACTAGCCGAGGTTTTTTATTTTTGAAAGCAAGTTAGACTCCTTTTTCATGAAGGATGAAACTGTGAGCAGGATTTCTTTACTCAGAGAATGCTTAACAATTCGATTAAAATATCAAAAGCAGCAAGAAAAACAACTGAGATAAGAACTCTTAAAGAACATTTTAAAAAGTATGCAGACATTATGGGCAACATCCTGCATCCCTTAAAAAGGCTTCAGTTTATGCCTCAGTCTCCCACTTCTTTTCCTTCTTGGTACAGCTCCTCACATATCTCTAAATCTGATGCTAAAGTTCCACAACTTTCCAGAACAGCTTGGAGGGGGGCTACAAGGGCAGGAATGTCTGTTCAGCTGATGGGGAGATACAGCAGAGTACAGTCCAAAAAGTCAAAACCTTTGAGGAACAACTCTTCATAGGATAAAAGACAGCTTTGCCTCTGAATGAGGGCTCTGGTCTTTCTTGAAATTTAAATGGCTGCCCTGTACTAAGTCAAGATTATTGTTCTGTTCTGTACTGTCTACTCCACTCCAAGGTCTCAGGCAGAGGACTCTCCTGTCCTTGGTCCTTGAAATCCCTTTAGCCAAAGACTGAACCAGGGACCTGATGCATGCCAAATGTGTTCTCTGCCACGCCACTCTTTTTCCACTCTGACTCTTCCCTCACTGAGACTGTTAAGATTAAAACCATCATGCAAGTTAGACTCATCATATATTCCTTTCCTTTATAATAGTTGATGACACTGAGTATCCCTGAAGAATAGAGAACTATTTTATTAATAGCTGCAGTAATTCAAATGTTTTCTTGTGGTTAATCTTTCCAACAACATAACATTCTCTCCCAAACTGCTTTCCAAAATATTCATATGCTAATATTTAAATGGCACAAAGTCTTGCTTGAAAAGTAGAGCTATACAATTTGATCCATACTTTGTATTTTTCTCCTTTTCAGAATAAGAATTTACTCTTTGAGAAAATGAAAGGTGGACCAAAAAGAAAGAAACGGGTAATTTTCAGAACACAACTTGTTTCCATTTTAGTGCCTTAGTGTAGGTTCAGGCAAGAATGCAAAGTAAAATCAGATTGTTGAAATAGCTATGACTATTACATCTATCTTAACATTTAGACATAGTCCTTGTTTCAAGAAAATACTGGTGATAAGCAACACAGCTTTTGCAGTTTGTTCTAAGCCAGCATTTTGCATAATTCTATTAGCTAAGCCAATGCACATGGTTTTTGCATTAAAACTGGAAATATACTTCACCCTTGCCTCTCCCTCTCCCAAACAAAGGCTTACTTTTAGAGTGTAGAAGAATAAGAACTAGCCACTCTAAAAGGAGCCCAAAGTATTTGTATGGTTCAGTGTTGTGTCCCTTAGATGTCATGTAATTTTTATGACTTTTATCACCATCCATGATTAAATAGTCCGTATTCAACCTATGCAGGGTGTGACAGAATCACATATCCCAGCAGAAGCTGTCTGGAAGAAAGGGAGGCAAAGGCAGAGCAGTAGATTGTGTAGAGATGCAGTAAAAGTCTTCTTTGTGCTCACAGGAAACTTTATCACTTCTCTGATAGCAATTCTTATGCTAGTCTGCTGCAGGACAACAAACAATATACAAATTCAAATATGTAATCTATAACCAACAAATTGGTTCTGACTGTAATGAAGACTAACAAGCATTGTAAATACCTGTTTAGCATATGCAGATATTTGATTTGAATGTTGTAGTTTATTTTTTTCAAGTAACAAATAGTAATAAATCAAAATTCTCTGTACCTGTGCTCTGCTAGATCTTCAGGGTTCAGCCACACTCAAAACCCTAGCCCTAACCCTAACTCAAAACCCACTAACCTCATGTGTCATTTGTGCTGGCAGTACAATTATGCAGAAATCAGTCGTTATTTCTCAGTTAGCAACAGTTTCCTGAATGGAGAAGCAAAGCCATTCCTTGCTGCTAACATGTTTCTGTTCACATAAAAACCAGGTGGTTTTAGATGAGTGTTTATGATGCTACCACCCTGCCTTATTCATGGAGTGTATGTGGATACAGGTGTCATCAGGCTTTTCTACACGAGGCATTTCTCATCCCTCCTCATGGTTGTTTATGGGGTTTTTAGATGAAGTTGTAACCTTCCAATTTTACTTCTCATCTACAATCACTTTCAGTGAGGGGCTTTTTTTTTTAAAGAACAGAGAAAATATGTCATATGTGAAAGCAAAGGAAAGCACTTTCCTTAGTTGTGTAATTGCACTGTGCCACTATACTACACTGCCAACTAGAGGTTATGCAGTAGAGAATCATGAAAGGAAACAGCCTTTGGAAAGGGCTTGCATCTCAATTCAGAAACAGAACCAAAAATAGATTACAGCTGATTAACAGCTTCATGTAGAAAATGTAATAAACTTGTAGTTGTAGTTCTCCCATATTGTCTTACCATTTCTTCCATCTTTTTTCTTGCAGCAAAAAAATTCTGAAGGAAAAAGAAATGAAATTGCTACACAATAACTTATGATTGGTAGGATTGGTAGAGTTCTTCCATCTGGAAGTACCATGTCTTCTCAGTGACCTAAGAGTATCATGTCACTCAGAGTGCTCTTTTTCATATCTAGTGCCAGCTCTTTAGTTGTTTTATTTCTGTCTCAGAAAAGGGAGCAAATTGAGGCCAGCCAGCGTACTGAATGGGTATTAATCTCCATTTTTCTGAATTAAAGTTGAGGGTGAATACTTCCAGGTTTAATTTTAATTACTCTTATTCAAGAGCAAGGCCCATAAGGCATAGTGATCACTGTAGGATATTTCTCTAGATTATTTCCAGTTACAAATAACTTTATAAATGTATTTTCAGAATGTAAATCCGTATCTTCAAGGACAAAGGCTGGACAACGTTGTAGCAAAGAAATCTGTTCCACATTTTTCAGATGAAGAGAAAGACATTGCAGAAACTGAATGAAGTTTCCTGGAAGTCCAAATACTGTTTAAACATAATTAGTGGAAACCTAAATTCTGCTTATATATAACCAGTTGAGCAACTAGTTATAGATGTTGCATGGCTATTACCTAAATAATTGTGGCTGAATCAAGATACATGACAACACAGTTCAGCTTTTTGTTAAATTATGGCAATAGGATCTTGTTTTGCTTTGGATTTGGCATACGCTTTAAAAATTAATAATTCTAATTGTATGTGCTTAAATGGATTTAAGAAGCAAGCTTGTAAAGAAAAAGGGAATTTTAACATGTACCACTTCTTGTAGTTATTCACATGATGTGATGTTTGCCCTTTGAGAACAGTTGTTTCATCATTCTGCTTGTAAATAAGAGCCTATTTACAATAAATGTCTCAATCTTTGCTGTTTGTTTTAACAAGCACTGAAAGCAGTCTTCAGTATATGCATGAACATATAAATTGCTTCAGATGATTTTTGAGAAAACAGTTTTTGTCTTATTTACTCAAGCCAAATTATAAACTGCGCTTTGGATGGGATCTACACAGTGTAGCATTTTGCTTACTGGTTTTTACTGCCTCAGCAATGACGCCTGACATTTCCCTGTATCACATACTCATTCACAAAGTGCTGCTCAACATAGCAGGCATCTAGATCATTTGGGTCCTAACATACAGTATAGTTAGCCTAATTATGGATGTTATAATTGCTTATTTTCTCATTTATGTATACCACTTAAGTCACTAATTTCCAACAGCTGAGAAGGGGAAACAGGAGGAGGGGGAAGTTGTTGATATGATTTAAGTGAAATTCAGGTTTTGGTTGTAATGATACACATGCTCTGTTCTGAATGTAATGAAAACTAACAGTGCACTCTTATATACATGCTTTGGGTCAGAAAATTAAAAGGTTTTAACCTGGCACTGAAGTGTCTTAAAGGGTTGACGCCAGGCGTGCCTCCCTGGGGAGCTGGTTCTTAATCGGGGCACCTCTACCAAGAAGGCCCTGCCTCTCATGGCCACCTTCCTTATTTCCTTTAAAGGTGGATCCTGGAGAAGAACCTCCATAGATGATCTTAGGGTCTGGGTAAGAGTATATGGGAGGAGGTGTTCCTTTAGCTTTCCAGGCCTTAAGCCATTTAGGGCTTTGTACATTATTGTAAACACCGCAAAGTGGGCTTGGACTTCAATTGGTAACCAGTGTAGTTGGTAAAGGACAGGGCTTATATGTTCATGTCAGGCTGTCCCTGTCAACAAATGGGCTACCCTGTCTTGTACCAACTGAAGTTTCTAGACTGTTTTATAATTTCACTGGATAAACCTGTATGAGACAGATCAAATATTTTATCTGCACTAGGTATAATTTATGAACATCTTTGCATGTTTCCTTGTGATATTATCCCCCTTAACTAAAGTGCATCCTTAAGGAAACTGTCAGAAAGAAGTAGTATTTGCTTTGTCTTATTAGCAGACGAACATGCACATATTTATCATTTATTAAATATGCACTCTTCTTTATCTTATCATAGCTCATAAAGTCTGTTCCACATATGCCCAGTTCATGTCAGCCAGGAGGGAGGTGGTACAGAATAGGAATTAAATGCAACTGGTAATTAGGATGATGGGAAACAATGTTCTGTAGAGGGAGAGGCCCAAATGATCTACTCTATGACAGAAGACTGCAGAAGAAATCCGAAGGTGACCCATTTCCTCAAGAAAGAATACATTTCTTGAATATCAAGGCAAAATACTAAATAAATTATATTCCTGTTCTTAAGAAAAATCCACTGTTTTCCAACAGAACCAACATAAATAAAGGATTTGAAGACACCCACCCATGAAAAATAGTCATGATACCTCCAGATCCATTGTCTGTACTTAATTTGAGGAAAGCTTAATATGAAACTCCCGCCACAAAGTATTCTTGTGCCAAGGAATGCAGCAACAAGTAGATAGCAAGATGAACTTGTCTTGAGGATATTACTCTGTGTGGGTGGTATTGATTACTAGTTGGATACCTGTAAGGGCACATGTCAGCATTATTTGCATAGATTCAATATGTGTGTTATAGTGAATTGTCCACCCATCTGCCATGGAGAGCTATCCATCCCCAAGGCAGTGTCAAAGCTAGTAGAAGTCAAAGCATAGGGTATCATACCATTGGCATATTACCTAAAATGCTGTTTAGATGTAATTTCCCAGCATTTTGGAGCTTGAGCAACATGGAAAACACCTGCTAAACTATGTTTAATTAACTGATTATGTTCACATGTTACATTAAAGGAGGCACACCCTAGTGACATGGAAACTGCTTCTGAATTCTGTGATTCTTTGAAACTGACACCTGAGTCAAGACATTTGTCTCAACTCATGCTAGGCTGAGTTTGGCTGAACTATCTGAACCACACATATATGCATGCTGTGCATTGCTTTGATGATTTCCAGCTTCCCTTCACATCACTGGTAGCAGTGCATATTAAACAGATTGGAATCATGGAGAAAAAAGCAGAGCCCATATGCTAGACAGTATTTGAGAAGGAATGTGCTCTCAAGAGTGGGTGGCTTCATCATAGACTGCTTCTTGTATGGCCCACCAAAGAGCCTCACTTTAAAAATCCAAAATTTCATTTATTCCCATTGAAGCAACTTTGGAATTGCTATTTAGTTTTTTCTTTGACAGAACTGGATAAAATAGTAAGCTACAGTAGGCCTTCTTGCAGGAAGGAAGCCTTCCAAACTGCAGAAAAATCATTTCAGGATTTTTATGCTAAGTGCTTTCACATTATATGTATCTATATATTGGAATAGTTTTATTGGGGAAAATTTGCAGGTAGAAGTACAAGGGTGTGTGGAAAATTAGTAAAATGTACAGAGTTAAAAGAGTTTCATTCCCTTGCTCTAGTTCACCTGTGTTTTTGTGGACAATTTCAACAATGTGGCATCCATCATAAGGGTGATATTAAGAAACCAACTTCCAAAAGAAGCAAGAGTACTTCTTTGCCAGGGATAGCAAGTTAGGATGAAAGAAATCAGTTTGAGAGCAGGGAACTTCGTATTTTGCTCAAAGTGGGGCACAATTTATTGAGAAAAGATGCTACAGTATATCCTGTATTGTAGGAGCATAAGGAGTCAGGGAGCCTTTGCCACTTTCTGAAGGGGATTCCATCTTGCCCCACACACTTTTGTAGCTATTTGCCAAGTCCTTCAAAGTGTGGTGTGACTGCAAATATACAAACTGTCCTTGGTGCTATTTTAAAACTACACCTGCTTGCAACATCCTTGGGGCACTCGGGCAGTATGCTTAAGTTTCTTTTACAGCCCTAACCAAAGCACTCTAATTAGAAGTAAAAAGGAGAGCCCTTGTTGGGGGCTGAAGCTGTGAACTACAATACCACACACTTCTCCCTGCTACCTGATGTTTTCCTTTTATGGAGAGTTGGGTGGAGGGTTATATATTTCTAGCTGACTCCAGAATGACTGTGTTCCAAATCAGGTGAAGCAGCCCAATTTGCTTTGGACTAATTGGACAAAGCCCTGTTTTGTTTGGGACGTCTTGCCAAAGCCAAATCTCTCCAAGGCAGCCTGCTTCAGGATGGGCTCTGAGCTTGACCAAAGCAGATGCACAGCTCTGCTAGGCAAAGACTTTTGCCACTTCTCCAGTTTATAACCACCTTGGCATCCAGCCAGACAAATTTGCTTCTCTGAGAGATGGTGAAAGTGTTAAGCACATCATTCCTGGATGACATATATACAGTATTTGCTCTTCCATTCTGGTGCTCTCTGACATATGATGAAGGATCAGCTTGAATTCCTGTGCCTTTTCCTAATTCACCATGAGAAGGAAGTCTGTACTAACTGCTCATGCTTGTTTTATTTATGATGGCAACTGTTTTTAGTGACTTTGTAGCTCCTCACTTTGGATCTGGTAGCCATGTGTTGAACACATGGGAGCATTACAAATCTTAAATGATAGTAAATGCCATGGCAGAAACGTTAGCAATTATAGCCGACAGAACTTTGAAGATCTTGCACAGTGAACGCTATCTAAGTTCCCCCCTCCCGCTCCACTTTCAGGGCATAAGGGGAAATAGAATGGTGAAAGATGGTTCCAATCTTGAAAGACTGGGGTCAGAAAAAAAATCATTTTTCTACCACAAAGAGAATAATTGCTTTTTACAGAAACACAGATATTTTATTGCAATGTGACTTCCTCATTCTCCTCTCATCTCCCAGAAAGAGTAAGGGTGGGAGGCAGTGGCACAGCTTCCCTGTACAACGAAATGAGGATTTATTGGGTAAAGCTGGAAGCATGATTGTTTTGATCCTTACCTCAAAGTCTCATCACTGCCCTTGTTATCCCATCCTTCAGACTTCTTGCCCCTTCCTCTGTCCCTGGTTCAAATAGATCAATAAATTGTAAGCAGATGCTATTTCACAAATTGTCATGTCCCTCTGTCAAATCTATGCACTTCCAGTGACACAGTAAATGGGGAAATATCACTTATCTATGTTAAAGCCCAGCTTAGGTGACTTATATCAAAGCCCACCTTTCCCCACTATGAAGAGCAATTGTCACAATTAGGTATTCAGAAGCCCACCTATGATCACTTTCAAATGTGTGACCAGTAGCTCCAGCACTCCGATTAAAGGTCTCTTAAGGCACAGTCTTATGTTAGTTTCTGTGTGTGTGTAGTCATACAGTTCCCAGCATTCCCTAGCCAGGGGGGCAAGCTCGGGAATACTGGTTGTCTAGAACAATTTTATTTCTTGCATAAGACTGCACATTTACTGTCTCACATTTTCTTACTTTTTTACACTTATTCTCCTCAGAAACTCTTCTCAGCACCTTTGTAGTGCCACCTCTGCCACTTACTTCTTTCATGACCCTCTTCAAAAACACTAGCTCTTCCACAAAGCCTTTTTCACAGGCTCTTCAAGCCCTGCAATTTGGATGCACTCATCTTCACTGGACAAAATCCAACCATGCAAGCAGGCTTCCCCTCATCTGACAGGATTTCCCCTGCCTCCCTACCTTCTAGATTTTGATAGTGTGCAGAAGACTGCACCAGGGAGAGGAATAGCCCCTTCCTTGTTCCACTGACTGAAGCCACTGAATTGCATGGAAGGATTAACTGGATGCTGAGCCTTAGGTGAATTGCCCTCCTGTTTTCCCCTCCTTTTTGTTATCCTCCCCTCTCCCACCTGGATAATCTGCCCATTCTATAGTTTCACTGCGGCTTAACAGGAACTCTGCTTAGGGAACCACAAGACACTTCCCCAGAGCCTTCAGGAAACCATCAGCATGCATCAGTCTCTGAAGGTGGGCCATCATGAGCAGCTCCTCCTGGCTCCTACAGAATTTCAAGGTCTCTGTGAGTCTAGTGCAGCCTTCTCAAATCTGGCATTTTCTGGATCTGTTAGACTAAGAATCCAAGCAACTTCAGCCTGCATGACCTGTCTGAATAGAGCAGGTCT